GCCTTTTCAGCAGGCGAAAAGAGGTTTATGTGAGTCTGGACCTGAAAGGATGATGCGCCAGAACTGAGAGCTTCGCCATGCGGATTAAACCAACCATAACAGGGGATATACCAACCAGATGGGTATGGCGATATACATAAGGACCCAGAAACAAATATATGATACGCGTGTTTCGTTGAGAATGGTATGATATTGGTGTGTATCCATCAAATTACCATATTTCAATGAGAAAAACGTACAGTAAGTTCTATGATTAAACAAATAAAACAGTGGTGGTACCTAGTTTCAGTCAAACCCGTATGTACTTCCCAACAAACGGTTGGTAGAGGTAGATACTATAGTGGTAGATCTAAACCAGGCACTTTTATATATTCACGTAGAGTACGTATAATTTTGTATTATTTTTTCCTGGTAGAAAATAGACTAATAACACTTTGTTGGGGATTCACCAGTAGAGCTAGACAGGTCGCATCCTGTGTATGCCCTCAAAGCCCTGGTCATCGAGGACGCGAACCGGTACTCGAACATTGTATTCATAGGTACATCATCAGACTCATAAACTATAAGTGGGTCATTATGTTAAACCACCGGATGGTAATATATTATAATCACAAGATACTATGTTTGTGAAAAAAACAACTATTTTGGTTGTGTTTCAAAGGTGTTCAAACCCTGCGGTATATCTCCCTCCCCATGCCATGGGTTCCATGGATAATCTCTGAGGCTACGAGGGAAACTTGCCCGCCTCAACTGTCTTACGCGCGGCCGCCGTGGAGGGTTCAAAGCTTCGGGGTGTGGCTAGGAAAGGCTGGACCAATGGTTATGGAAACTTAGCCAAAAATTGGGGTTGAGTTTTGCGTGCTTTCGGTTTTGTTTCGATATTCTGTGATGATTTTATCATGTGATTCAATTGGAAAGATACAGCGAACACCTTCGCATGGCCTTTTCTGAACAGATGATCTCCTTGACCTTCATTTTTGGAGCCAAAACAGAACAGGGGTGTCCATCGAACAAACAACTACCATTTGGGGATGGTCTGAATCCCTAGCATTTATGGTAATATGTGGGAAGGTTATTTTTTGGCTTTGTTTATTTATGTTTTTTTGTTCAGATCCTGATTGGCGGTATTTTGACCTGGTGTTTGTGTGATGGTTCATTAACACTTGACTTATTCATGACTCATGATGTTTATAGTACTGCAACTAGACATACAATCGATATGAGTTGCTGATCCTGTATCCAACGGTATTGTTTTCCCATAGGCACAATTGGTAAGGCACCCATCTGATGCATTCTTAAAATGGTGGTCTATGTATGTCTAGGTACTGGTTTTGACTGGGAAAGTTATTGATGTTACCACAATATGACTGCAATATATTGCAATATTCAATACTATTGAAACAAAGAAACAGTGGTATTTTCAACGGGTGTAGGCAAGCAGGCGCAAACACTGTACTAGGCTTTTAAGGTCCACCGCAAAAGCCATGGCCATAGGTCTAACCGAGCGAGGTGTCTGAGTTGTTGGTACCATCCCAATTTGAATGTTGTCATGACGCCATGACCCCAAAGAGTTGGATGTTATGTGCTGGAAAATTCTGGTTTGTTTGGAAAATAGGGCACCCGCACATTTCAATCCCCGTTGAAATTTCCCCTGTGGAATGGCTGGCCTCAAGGCCCATAAGGTCGATTTCTAGGGTCATTTTGTAAGAAATCACTTTCCCTAGGCCAGCCACTTCGTAGCATGTACTAATTTGAACGGCCTCAAGGCCCATTTCGGAGGCCATGTTGTGGGGAGTTGCTTGCACCTTGCCATAAACAGATGATTGAGGATGATTGAGGCATAAAATCACGATCATATAGCAATCTCAAAATGTAGTCTGAGATCGCGGCTGGGTTGGGGCCATTCATTTTGTAAGAAAGTCTTTGGCCATTTTAAGGGGCCATTTTGTAAGGAATTCGTGCTATTCTTGAAAAAAACGATCTGCTCTCCAAATTTGTGCAGGGATTTTGGTTGTCGCATTAAAACTTCATGCATTGGCTTACAACAAGGGAGGGTGTTATCAGGATGGTCTGATGTACCGTGTTCTTCTGCACAAGTCACCCAAGCACTTTGTAAGACCATGTAAGACTTGAGTTACTATGTAGATCTGTTTGTAGGCATGGACAGTTATGGAGTGAAATTGAACAATTGGTGGTGCACTAGGTGCGCATGGTGCACCCCATCATTTTGTAGGACTTATGTGGTGACACCCCGTCATTGTGTAAGAAGACACAAAACGCTTCACTCTGCGTCAACATTGCAACAAGAAAGGCAGCAACTATAAATAAAACTAGACCTATTTCCTTGCAAAAAGGATGGGTTGCTCTGTAAAGATAATTGAGGGCTGAGTGAGAAAACCGCAGGGAAATGGCAGAGCAACAGGTTCTTACAAAATGATGCCCTTTTTCGGGGATCAGGTCCCAAGCATGCAAGCGAAACTCATATTCAGAGAAAAATAGAAATTAAAAATCTACAAAATACGGGGGTGCTGCAAAGAGCTGGTTGATGCACCAAGCCCTGCCATTTTGTATGGAGTTTTTTTTTGCTTGCGCCCATTCCTTTTGTAGGCGTTTGGCAATACCCCGGGGTTTATAGCTACACAATGTGGGCCCTGACCCCTTGGGGTGAATTTCAAGGGGGATGTGTATCATGTGTTTCTCTGTTTAGAATATCTTCCAGTGGCCAGTTGGAGGGTATACGGCATACCCAATCCTTAAAATTTGTTTTTGTCACAAACTCAAAATTACCAGAAACACTAGGCCTTGAGGATATACTTAGATGGGCCATGGAGTTAGTTAACTAATGGGTTACAATTGGGATATAGGGGGTTATAGCCCCAGTTACAAACCAGGTATCTAATCTTATGGCCCGTCTAAGTAATATATCTAACGTTGGCACATCCAAGGGGCTTTGGGATCGCTGCCCTACGTGGCATCGAGGTCTTGATGAATCGTACCTCCTGCACAAGGCACACTTCTGGGTCGAAACCCATCATCCTCTGTAAACCTGGATGAATCGGCGGTAACTGTTTTCTTTGGAAAAGATGAATAGCTAGGGGTGAGTCATTGGGATAGTTCTGATTCATAACAAGTCGGTGGAGGTAGTCTGATTCATAACAAGTCGGCGGATGCGAATATATACTATATAATTTTGAATCAAGGATTTGGGTTTGGGTGGTAATTGGTAAAGTCCGCATTTGGGTTAAGTTGGTTCTTCAAATCCACGCATGTCGTGAAATTCAATGTTTGTTTCATCCTTAAGTACGCCAGCACAGTCTGGGTGAACATTCCAAGGTGTTTTGGTGAAATCGTGGTCCATCCAATCTTTGTGACCATGTGGTTCCAGCTTCTTCGGCTCTATGGCGCGACCTCATCTTTGATGGGACTCTCCTGGGACCCTTGTCATTTGCGATACATGTCCATGCATTTCAATATCGATTCCTTTGGTCAAAATGGGTTGCATCTATACTCATTATTCTATAACTATCAGGGCACGGCATCTTCAGCCGCCTGTGAGTACAACATATTGGAACCACCAGCCATTACAATGCCATGTTTGCTTGTTCAGCAATCTACCATATTTATAGAGGACTGTATAAAACGATGTTCTTAAATGCAAATTGCCGAACCAACTCAGATTGCCAGAGGGTATCGTTCAGTAAGCAACAGACCTGGCGTTGTGGCAATTTTCATTGTCTTTAAGTATGCCCATCAGTCGGTTATGTATATATTTGTTGCAGTAAAAACATGCAAACAATTGGGGATGGATAGTTACATACCATGACTCACGGAGTGACTAACGATCGCTAAAATGATTTAAGATTCTAAGTCTAGTTGACAGGTGACAGGTATTCAACATCACTGTGGAAAGTTGCCCATTTCTAGATAAATAAGCATATAAAATCCTATAAACATGATGATTGGTCGTTTTTTCATGTGTTTTCCGATGGTTTTCCCCTGGTGTTCCGTTACGTTTCACCGGAAAGCTGGTTGCTTCCATCGATGCCAGTCGACCGACGCCAGGTCTACAACCTGTGGCCGGAGTCGCCTGCCTTTCAACACTGCTGGTGACGTGGCCTTTTCGGATGGTCTGCATCTCGTGGTGATGGTTGATGGTCATTGATAGTGGACCATAAGATGTTTATAATATGTACATACTATATATATATACATATATATATATTATATATATAAATATATATATATATATAATAATTTGATAAATATCATATATATAATTTATGTATATATATATATATCATATATCATACATATATATATATTATATAAAACATATGCACATATATATATATATATGTAAATATACATATTGTGTTTTATCTAGATGAATGCAAAGTTGTAGACAGTATACAACCATACTTAGCTGGTCAGCCTGGACAATCTTGGAGATATCCATATTGTGCGATGACTAAACAGTGGCGTAGAGCTCTGCAAGGCTCGGTCTTCGGTCAACCCAACGGATGGATAGTACAACGTACAACCCATGTGTTCACTGGCCATATATAAGGCCTTTTTTGGGGGACTAAATTTCAGGGAATCTGCCCCAGAAAATATGGCCAGAAATATGGTACTAACGTACCTCCATGTATTGGATCCTGAAATTCCCGATGTGTTGCAATCAGTGGGGATCTTTGCCAAGCAGTTTTTCCAAAGCATACGTTGATATATTGATCAATGTTGGCCATGCGTTGGGCATGAAAAACCTTTGTTACTTGGTTTTCTCGCAGTTCTCCATGCATATATGACCCGTTATGACCCCATCTGCCATCGATCTTATGGCGCACAACATGGGCAGAATCCATCAATTTTACCAACAAACTCAGGTTTGGAAATGTCAATGTCTCAGTCTTGGTACGTCTCAGTGATATGATTGTCCAACTCCTTTCCGGATGATGTTTTCTCCAGATTTGCCCCATCCCCCAACCAGCAGCTCGACGCTGAGAATTGTTCGAGGACAGTAGCCTACCCCCAACTCATGGCATGGTGGATTTGCTAGCTGGACCTTGCACCCAGAGGGGATGCCCATCACTCCATTACCTGTACTATGGATTTATGTATATTTATATGATATATCTATATATATATATATCATATTAGATACATTTATTTATTAGATATTATATTTATTATTTTTAATATATATATAATATGCGCAAGGAATCTTTCATGCTGTTGGCATGACCATACCCCAAGCTTTGCTGGATGCATGGACTTGGAAAAGTCCTCAGCTATGGCCACGGCGACAGACCCACAGCCACTTCAGCCGGGAAAAAGGATCCATAGGAAAACCATAGGAACTGGTAAACGTTTACGTAACTATGGAAAGATCCACCATTTTATAGCTGGGTAAATCCACTATTTCGACTGGACCATTTTCAATAGCTATGTTAACGTTTACCAGAGGGTATCCAAAAGGATGGATGCACAATGTGCGCAGCCACCTCACCATCGCAAGCGGCTGCATGATCGCTACATGTCGCTACCATTTCGAAAAAGTATTGATTTTCTTACTTACGCTACACCATCAAACTAGCACAGAATTGCGCACCGAGCAAGAGCGTCACTAACTGTACCCACATCACACATGCAGCGCAACCTATCACTATCGAACACACGCTTGGTAATAGCGACTGTTCGATGAAGAACACGACGCAGGTGAATCAATGTTCGATGAAACGTCATTCATCAACTGGATCTTACATGCAGCGCGTCAAAACAACTGCGCCATCGGACAACCAGGGCAGACCCCAATGCACATTGCGGGACTGGAGAACGGGGTAGGAATAGGAACACTCCGTCAACTGCGCAATGTACCAAGTATCATCCGCGGCTCACATGATATCCCATCATATCCCCGTACAACCGCATGTTTGGGTACACATCCCGTATTCCCATCATATCGGTCCTTCTCATGTACCCTCTGGTAAACTAACACATCTAAGGAAAATCACCATGTTCAATGGGAACACTCACTAAAAATGGCAATTTTCAATAGCTATGTTAGTTTATTAGAGGGTATTCACCATTTGTTTCTGATTGAAATACCCATTATTTGTTTCTGATTGAGATACCCATTGCCAGCATTCAATCCCATGATCCATGGTTGGTCAACTGTTTCGATGGGTGAGATCTCATAAAGCTTCCATTCCCTAAGCATCCAGCGTAGGCAAACTAACGTGTTTATATGTGTTTATACTGGGACTCTAATATTAGAATCCCAGTATAAACACAAAAACATATATTTGTATGTTGACTGGAAGGTCTGGAAGGTACCCTCTGGTAAATGTTTACAAAAACGATGGAAAGATCCACCATTTGGTCACCATAAAATTCACTATTTCTATGACCATTTTCAGCAAACTGTTAGTCATTACCAGAGGGTGAGATCCTGAGATCCCCCCCGTGTTGCTTGACGAGGCAAAGGTCCAGCTGCAAATTTCTCACGGGCAGCATCTATGGTCGCCATGTGCGGTGCTTAAAAAATCACTGCGTGATGGGTCAAATAGCTGGGATATCTTCAGCTATGGCCCTTAACTTAGTTGCAAAGTGTGAACATAACTCCTGTGTTTGGGTTTTTAGTGAACCAAAAAATCACTGCAGGGAAAACGGACTGCAAATCCGGGAACCTGTTTTGGTTCCCATTAAGGATTGGCTATATCAATTGATTCGAAGGCATTAGGATTTGAATTTATAGATCAATTTCCCATTATATGCTATTCTATTTCCATCAAATAAACCATTAAAGTTACAACTCCAGCAAGCTTGTCCCAAGCACAGAAAAATTGACCAGGACTAGGAAACACCCAGAGCGTTCCAACAAGTCGTGGAGAGACTTAAAAATTCTTGCGGTGCGGTAATTTATGAAACACAGCTATGGAAAACCCAAAGGATTGGTATATACTCATTATTTACCGGACCAATTTATAGATGATTGCCTCATTTATATATCACACACACGGCAGCAGCATCTATATAAATAAGGCAATGTCCGTTGCCATGACTGCCAGGGGGTAAACTTTGAAACGATAACTCAATACACATATCACTTGTGCATTGGTTCAGATCTTTGCTAGTTAAATCATGTTAAATCAATGAGATTTAAGACATAAGAATTGGATACTGGCACTTCACGTGTGATGTTCTGTCCAAGGACAGCAGAACATGGCTAGTTTCTGGTTTCAAACATGTTGGTCAACATCTCTGAATGAGTCCATGGAAGCCAAGTGACCCCTGTCGATTTGTAAACCCAAATCATGCTATGTCATGTTATGATACCCTCTGGTAAACTAACAATCCCCCTTGACTGTACCTGTATGGAATGGAAGAACCCACTCCCCGTATGAAATGGAAAAACCAACGTCATTTCATACACGGCCCATCTTGGAAAACGGGGCAAAAAACCCTTAAATGTTGGTGCCATGTTGCACCCTTCCATTTCATACAAAACGATGGTAATTCCATTGTATACAGCTGCATTTTTCTTTGGAATCATTAGTCCCAAAATCGGCATTTCCATAATATAAATGTTGTTTGCTTTACTGGTTTTAATCATTCTTATGTGGTCCTGGAATACGGCTACCATAATATACAAGTAATAAGGTAGGATGGAGAAACGTTAAAACTTAATTAGTGTTGATGTATCAATTATGTAGCCTTCCATTTCATACAACATACATATCACTAGCTGCCTTTGTGATCCATTTCATAAAAAAAAACATATTAAAACATGAAATGATTTAAGTCGATGTCACGACGTCCCCCCCTGCGGTATTTTCTGCATGGCATTGGCTCAGTTATGCTCCTGCGGGGCACATTTCTGTGCCATAATTTTATCTTAGAATATCTTAAGATACCTTAAAATGACCCCGTCAAAAAAACAACCAATTCCATAATATACAAGTCAAATTTTCTTGGTTTCAAGAGTTCATTTTTTTGCCATTTCCATAACATACTGGCGAAGCATTTCTTTGCATATCCGGCCTGCTAGGTGGTACAATGGTGGTATTCCGTAATATATAAGACCAAAAAAGGATCCATTCTATACAAATATTACTGGACCCAACCATTACATAAACCAGATTTTTATGGAATGGTGGGGCACGGGTTCCTACCCATCAATCAAGGGGGATAACTAACATAACTGTGGAAAATCACAATTTTTAGTGTGAAAACTCACTATAAACGGCCATGTTCAATAGCTATGTAAACGTTTACCAGAGGGTAACGTTTCTCCCTCCGGGCGACCGGACATGACCGGCTTCGCTAGTGTCATCCCAACTGGGGATTTATGGCGGGCTGAAAAAGCCACCAGGTATGGAGACGATTCGCCGATGTTTTCGGAGACAAAGTGGTCTTCATTACACATGCGGGGACCGCTGGGATAAAAAAATAAATGGATCTGCTGCAGGTGGTGATACCCAAATGATATTTCCACTGGGCATACGTTGTACTACAATGTTTGTATAATTATGATCTTATAATGGCATATGTGATCATACAAGCTCTTCTCCGTTTCATTTAACAGTTGGAAGTTGGATGCATGTCCAGTTTTTTGACAACCGGTGCCATGATCCCCGAAACAGAGATGGCTATCCAGTGGTTAGAAGGGTTAAAAGGGAACAGTGAAGGGAGAGGAGCTGAGCTTGGGGTGTCCATATTCCCCAAAAAAGCCACAGGTAGCCAGTTGGAGCTACGAATGTAGTTTCCCAACCACATGACAGGGGGAGTTCTATTGTTTAATTGATTAATTAACTACATGAACTAAGTCTGAGTGTGTTGGTTTAGGCTACCCATGAAATAAACGATCAACTGGTGCAGGATTTCGCAACCATCCAGCGTAGCAATATGTTCGATACCTTCCATTTCTCTACAAAAACGACTTTTGTGCAGACAACTTAAGTTTGCCAAAAACATCTAAAAACGTTTCGGGTCTCTGAAGTACAGTTTTATGTGGCCAGAAATTTGATGATACACATGGATTTGTCAAAAACATGGCAACTTGTGGGCGGATAACCCAAAATCCAATGGTTTATTGTCCCAGCTAAATGTGCTTTTTGGGGTATCATTGCCATATTTTCAGATAAGACCATCAGCACTCGATTCCCAAGTTTGGTGGTATACATTGGTTTATGGAAGTCAAATATACCAAGAAAATGAGAGCAATATTTTCAAGTTGTTTCAGGAAGTGTAAAGTGACACACTTAAAAGTGACACACTTAGGCCATGTTTGAAAGTAGTACCGAGATGCTCCATGTATGGTATATCTATACCTACATTTGGATGATTTTTGGGACAACTGTTGATACATATTCCAGCACCATGGAGCCAAGTGACCGCGCCATCTCGCGAAGGATGTCCGAGTGGCTTCGAAACCAGCCAGATGAATATTTTCTAACAGGAGCCGGTCGGGCAGCGGTGTTGAGCCTGAGATGAGACGACTGGGCTGATACTATCGGAATGATGCTTCATGATAATTATATATAATTATTTATTGTTCAGCTTTTGTATATTTATTTGGGTTGTTTGATATCTTATGATGATTCCCAATGATAGAATGCCAGATAGAATGTCAAGAATATGCCAGATAGAATGTCAGCTGGTGGGGGACACTTTCAAAGCCAGGCATAGCCTGGTTTCACTTTCACTTATAAACTGCTGGTTTAACCATCAACCCTAGTGAAATATAAATCAACTGCACCAAGTTACCGATGTAGTTCACTGTTACATTAAGATTGGCACAATAAGTGGTACTACTCCGGCATGTTGTAAAACATGATCAGTATACCACCTACAATTTGGGGCCCCCAATTATAAGTTGGTTTTTGAATTCCATGAATATTTAACTATAGTTGCAAGAATCATGGTCGCCATGGTCGCCATGGTCATTATTGGTCATTACAATGTGACATAAACTAAGTTATAGATAGTTATAGAATGTTATAGATAGTTATAGATAGTTTTTATAGATATAAAATGATATAAACTAAGTTTCTAAGGCTATACCATGAGTTATAGTTTTTGTTTAGCCTTAGAAACTCCGTCAAAATCTCCGTGAAAACCATCCGTCAGATCCGCGGATCCGCGTAGGATCCGAAGAGTTTGGACCGTCCGGCGACGGCAACGAGTGCCGTTTCTGGGACCGCCTGGGTGGAAACCGGAGAACCACTGGATGTGTCGTTTAAGGGACTCCAAGATGTTGCAGAAATGGATGTCTAAAAACCGAAAAACCTGGTTTACCTAGATCACCAACCATAAATTGGAACATTTACCTGGAAATTTAGGGCAATCAATGGGGAGTATAGCTGACATAAGTACGAAAACCAACTGGTGACGGGTATTTGAATACTTTGTTTTTGTTGTCGTGTAGCAACCACCAAAAAAAGAAAAGTGTAGACAAGTTGGAAACCTGGAGACTATCGGGAAAACATGTATACCATCCTGCAAATATGTTTCTATTTTTTGGAGCTGGCAGCAATTAGAGCATGCAATGCCGGTATTCAAGATGATAAACATATGCTTTCTCCACTGACCATTGTGTGTGAAATTTCCAGTTTTTGGTCAAACTAGCTCAGTTTTGTTTCCACTTTAATCCTTTAAAATGACATTATTCAGAAATTACACATAAATCAGACACAAGTCATTTGAAATCATATATATATATATAATATATATATATGATATATATATATACAATGATTTAATTATCATATATTTAAATAGCATTGCTATCCAATAGTTATCAAATGTTCATCCATACATTCACCCTGAGACTCTGGTTCTATGGCAGCCATCCATAGCATCGCAACCATGGCAGCCATGTGGTTCCATCGGTTCACCAATCCTAGGCGCTTCGTGCGCATTGCATTGCAAGTTGGACCCTCCAGCGGTACTACCCCAGGTGGCTGGTCCTGATCATTGCTATACCATGCTGGCTGTGTCTGAAAATAAGGTATACAGCCATGATTAACCCTACTTATTCCACTTATAACCAGGGATATAATCTAAACAGTAAATGGGATGAGCCACCAAGTAAACTAAGTGAACTAAGTGGACAATGCCGCAGCTGAGTGTGATCCCCAAGTATCGCCATTCAATGAGGAAAAACATGAGGATAAACAATAGGATTTGGGGGAAATCTGATTGCAGACATATACCATGCGATATCTAAATTTAGCGTGAGTTGTGCTTAAGATGGGGAATTCAGCCCCAAGTGAGAAGGCAAATTTAGTGGCACTGTAAGAGGTAATACATCTAAGGACTCAACTGTTGGGTTTATGGTGATGGAACAACTGGATCGTTTGATGGGGCAGCCGCATTGTATGAACTTACGAATTTGGGGTTTAATATTTGCAGTATGAACATTGGATGATTTTTTGTTGGTTCAAAGTTCAAATGCTTCAGCTGAGAAGTGTTCAAAACCCAGTGTTGTCCCTTTATACTCGCTGGTTGAGAACGGCATTCCCCGATGGTGGTAATCTCCTAGATATAATGGGTGTATTTTAATCCCCAAGCTCATAATCAACCAACCATTTGTTTTCAGTTATTTCCACTCATATCCCAATATTTTGGCTAAAATCCTACTGAATTACTATGACTAATAGTTAAACATGTTAAAAATGACAAGTTGAATCATAGTTGAACTACTATGAATCATAATTAACAACATTAAAATCATAGTTGGTACAACATTAAAAATGATTCAACCAACTGTTGTTCCTTGTTGGAAAAAACCACTGGGTGGTTCTCTTCCAAGAGATTTGGCTGGGCAGCTGAGCTTCTAAGAGATTTGCGACCGGCCAACATGATCAGATCAGCTTCGTATGGCATATGGAGGTTCCTTAAAATGGGGATTCCACATGCAGGATGATGCCCCCAAGATAGCTAAGTTGCCTTACAAGTGGCTGAATTCCATGGTTTTTGGTAGATATAACTATAACTATAGTTATATAATGGGGATGATAATGGTGTTTATAAACCAACTTATAACTCGGGGGGCCCATCCTGTGTGAGTTGATTTGGGGATCCCCCATTTAAGAAAACTCCATGTGTTCCTGGTATTAGTAAGAAATGATATTAATCCCATAGGATCCATGTATGGTATATATATATATATGTGCTAACATGACTGGGGTATATTGATGGTCGAAGGAAGTTTAGAAGTGAAATTTCCGACAATATGGACAGTTGAAAAGCAGAGGTGAGAAGAGTCAGAAGAGAAAAGATCAGAAGAAAGAAGAGGTAGATGCGCGAAAAGATAGGAAAGTCGCGATTCACTGTGTTTTTTCCAATGATTTGTGGCTCCGGAGGGTCGAAAAGTAGGCTCGCTAAAGCGGCGGGTGCGGAGCCAGCTGGCCAGATGAGACATGAAAAAGTGCACGCCGTTGTGGCGCGAAGCACATTTCCAAGTCAAAATGGACAAAACACTAGAGGAGCGGACCACGTTTGGAAGTTGAGATGTCGAAAAAGTGCACGCCGTTGTGGCGCGAAGCACATTTTGAAGTCAAAATGTGCAAAGCACACCAATGTCGGACCACTTTTGGAAGTTGCGATGTCGAAAAAGTGCACGCCGTTGTGGCGCGAAGCACATTTGGAAGGCAAAATGTACAAAACACACCAATGTCGGACCACTTTTGGAAGTTCCGATGTCGAAAAAGTGCACGCCGTTGTGGCGCGAAGCACATTTCCAAGTCAAAATGTACAAAACACCACATGTTCGCGCCACTTTTGGAGGTTCGGATGTGGAAAAAGTGCACGCTGTTGTGGCGCGAAGCACAGTTCGAAGTCAAAAGTGTAAAAAACTGAGGGTTTTGAGCCTTTTTTGACATTAAGATGTCGAAAAAGTAGATAGTGATTAACTTAACTAACTTGACCAACCTAACTAACTTCACTAACTTAACTACCCTAACTTCGACGACAACAGCACAACTACAACTACAACTACAATCTACAATCTACAATCTACAACTACAACTACAACTACAACTACAACTACACAACAACTACAACTACAACAACAACAGCAACAACAACAACTACAACAACAACAACAACAACTACAACTACCACTACAACTACAACTACAACTACAACTACAACTACAGCAACAACAACAACTACAACAACTACAACAACAACAACAACAACAACAACTACAACTACACTACACTACACAACAACTACAACTACACTACACAACAACTACAACTACACAACAACTACAGCTACAACTACAACAACTACAACTACAACAACTACAACTACAACTACACAACAACTACAACTACAAAACAACTACAGCTACAACTATATGACTGCAACTACACTACACTAATTACATTACACCACAACTACAACTCCACTACGCTGCAACTACAACTACAGTTGCAGTACATCACACTACATCCAGCAGTTGTGGGTGAGGTGACCACTGCAACCATTGCAACCACTCCAGCAAACACAACTCCAACCATCTTTCGGTCAATCAGTGGATTCGCTCTGCCATCCGTGATTCACAACAACCAACGTCTCCTATAGGTTTCCTATTCTGAAACTTCCGCCACCGCCTTGTGCGGTACTACTGGTAAATGTTACCATATATAGCATACATGGATCCTATGGGAATATCAAATATTATCAAATACCCTCTGGTAATTTGTTACATAGCTATTGAAAATGACCATTTATAGTGGATTTTCCCATTGAAAATGGTGATTTTCCATAGTTATGTTTCAAAATCAGTATTTTGCCTCAAGATTTTGCTACGTTGATTCAGCTCGGATTGCTTTTCCCATGAGGGTTGTTGGCACAGATCCATCATGTCAGGGGTAGCAGCTCTACCGGTTTAGTGGACCGATGGAAGTGGGAAAATCATGCAAAGTCTTAGATATATTTGGGAAATCTAAATTTTTAGCTATAAATGAAATATATTTTATATCTTTAGGATATCTTGATCTTAGCTGAATCCTAGATTTGGGCCTGCAGATGGCCCCAGTTCAAGTCAGATCCACGCCAGGATGTAGTTCTTCCTTGGGTTGTCGCGTTTGAATGGACTGCCAGAGTGGGGGGCCACAATGCGCCATGGATTTGGGGGCGCGACTGGGAGGTTTTTTGGAGTCTGACCCATCAGTAATAGTCCGTTTCACAGTTATAGTTATAACATGTTATAACTGGTTTATAACCTCATTTAAGTGACATATTTCACCTTAGTTGCAGGAGTTATAGAGTCCCATTTCTAAGTGTGAAGGGCCATGCGTGTTCAATATTCGCAGTTTGAAGAGTATTTTTTTATACATTGAGGTAAAGCCTGCACTAAACCATCCTCAATTATACCCCATTTGCAGATCAGTTTGCATCATTCCAGTTGTAAGGTATTACCCAATAATGAACCACGGCTGGGGATTGTTCATTATGGGATTTACTGTACCTTATGGTTTATCTCATTATTTTCATCCCAGACACAAAAAACTTGGGCAAGTGGATCTGAAAATGGAGTACCCCTTTCTATCCACTGGCTAATCAGCATTTTCCTACATAACTTGGACCGTATACCCATCGTTGGTTATATCCCCATTATATGCCCATCATATGCTCGCAACCACATATCACACCCTTGTTTATATCCCTTATTGCCCATTATTCTCTACAATAGTTGGCTCTATACCACCATTTTCTCTTAGGTTAAACACCCACTATACCAGCAAAAAAAAAACGTAAACGGCATGTGATAGTCGCATGGTATGCCCATGTCATACTATTTCATCCCATTTCACCACTATATTCCAATGATACTACAGAATATATGATGCCCACAATGGATTCATCATGCCCATTATCCCACAATATTGGGATATATTGGGACATTCATATAATCCATTTACTATGCCATTATATTCCATTTTATCTCCATGATATTCTCATCATATCATCATCATATTCCGTCATCTTCCATTGTACATCCCATTGCATCCCAATGATATTTAAATTCTGATGGAATTGTAAATGACACATTCGAATGAGATTCCAATCATATTGGATGTTTATATCACCATCCATGTGATATATTCCAATGACATACGAATGATATTTCAATGACATTCTCATGGAACTTTATCTCATTGATATCCCAATGATATTCCTAGCAACAATCCCATTCTATTCCAATGATATTCCCAGGCCATCTTCGCATCCCAGGCCACAGCTTTTCGACAGCGTGACATCTTGGTCTTCTACAGTGGCTCGGGGATCCAGTCGGCGTCGCATCCCAAAGGAGCCGGAGATGGGGCCATGAATTCCATGTAAGGAAATCATGCAGTTATGGCCCAACTAACCGTTAACTAACCGTTTGTTTTAAATGGTAACCTTAGTTATATAATGTTATATATATAGTATATTATATATATATACAGTATATATACTGTATATACCTAGAAACTCTTTCGGCAATGTTTTTTGCTGGAGGCAAAATTTTGTTAAATTTACGCTGGAAACTTGTAAAAACGCCGGATGTCTGCAAAAACGCCGGAGAATTCATAAAATGTCGGATCTACAGATGTATGTTGAAGCAACAAAATACAGAAAATACAACCATTTACAATTACGCCGGCTGGAAACATGAACAACTACTTCAAAAAATCTGCAAGCCAGAATTGCCGGCGCGGGGTTAAAAACGCCGGGAAGCATCAGAGGGCGCCTTTAACCAGGCAAAGTCGTCTTTTTGCAGGCAAAGTCATCAAAGAAGCGCTTAAAGGGCATTTTTATAAAAGTCAGTCATATGTCCATTTTACAACTGTTTTTATGGCCATTTTTCTGTGGGGATACCTCTCGGGGAAGTAATTAATGATATTTTCGTCATGCCACCACAGGTCAAAACCACCAGTCACTGGGGGAATCAACGTCCATAAATCCCAGCTATGACCAAGGGTACCATCCGGGTGTCGAAAACTGCCGAAAATAGCCATATGAGGAACGAGAAAATCATCGGATGTAATGGATCTGAATGGGCTTAGTTTAGAATTGGATCATGTAGGTATATAATGAGGATTTAGTGGATTTGCATATACAGTGATGAATCCTCTGGCAATCAAACATATTTTATAGGAAAATCATCCAAGTAAATGCTTGATTCTCAATGGTCGCGTTTACTTCAATTTTTATATACGTACGTATGTGTATATAATTGTATATATATAGAGTTTGGTTGCCGGATGGCTATATGTATATGTATATGTTTATATAATTAAATACATATATGTAAATAATCACCCTCATGAAGTAGATATGTTGAATTTCAAACATATTTCGACTTTGGGGATTACCTTCCAGTATGATATCAACAACTATTTGTTCAGTAACACATCAGGGTCAAGGTTGGTTTATTTCACCAAGCGAAGAGATGGAACTAGATGGTGCAGACAGCGGCACCGGGACTTGTCAAGAGATGGAAAAGAAAAGCCACCATTTTTCATGGGTACCCTCCGGTAATTTGTTACATGCATAGCTATTGAAAATTGCCATTTATAGTTGATTTACCCATTAACAATGGTGATTTTCTATAGCTACATTAGTTTACCAGAGGGTAAATCATGAAACAAAATGGTGAATTTTTGTCGCTGGATTAGATCACCAGAGGGAAAGTCTTATCTGCAGTGGTGAATGGTCGACAGTGGATATAACTTTGGGATTGGAGAAACACATCGAATGGCTCCAAAACGGTGAACGGTTATCTATGAGAACTGGTGATACTGAAAGAAACAGCAACGGGAATGTTTCCTGGAACAAATGACTTTAAGCCGTTTCAGCCGTTTAAGCCGTTTAAGCCGCCTAAGCCGCTCTGCCAGATGCAACACCAAAGCATAATTTGGGAGAGAACAGGAGAGAATGGATTGCGAATCATAGCCTTAAGAATAAATTCCATATAGATTACATATGATCATTACCATTTTATGACATCATAGCCTTAATCATCAATCATCCCAGCATAGCCTGTGGAATTCTTATGATGATCCCAGGCACCGACAATTCCTGCTCTCGGAGAAAACTTCGAAAGGCGGACTTCGATTGGGAGATCGACTAAGCAATAGGTCTCTAACCTGGATGATTGGTGGTTGTCTCAACTATCATCCCCCAGGGTGCTGTATGAGGCATCATCAGCATGAAATGGCTGACAGACTGACAGAACTAAATGGAGGTTTCCAATTCCAATCCATAGCAGGTATCCATGGGTATCCCCAAATCATCCATGTGATTTTCTGAGATACCAATGATGAAGCATCCAGCTATTGGGATACCCCCATATTTGGGATTGATCATAGAACAACCTTGGGCCAAACGGGAGACCTCGGACCCCTCGTGGATTGGCTCTTGACGTTTCTGAGATGTCATCCAACCATACAACGGTGCCAAAAGCGATTCAGAAGCGACTTTCATTGTGAAAACAGACTTGGGTCTCTTCGGTTTCACTGGGTAAGTGCAACAGCAGCAGGTCTTTTCGGGGAGATTTGAGCAAGAGATGACGGCAGAGGAGAAGCGTGTTGTTTTCGTGGGTAACTGGCTGATTTCGTGGGACAAATCCAGCGAGTTCGTTGGCCGACCAAACCCCATGAATGATGGTTGGCATTGATGAGGCTGTGAGAAAATGGCAAGAGGTCAGGTGTGGGATTGATTGTAGACTTTCAATTTGTCATGGTGTGAAAGTGAAGACCATGCCCTTCTGAGTATTGAATGTACTATATACATCTATATATACTGACTATATATACTATATTATACATATGGGAGTTTGTAAAAACCCCACGTCTATTCGTTTAGTCTTCCATGATCCCCCATGAGCCATTTTTAGCTTTCACTCGAAAAAACGATAAGAGGAAAAAACACGATAACATTGAACGTTGGTTCTGTTAATGATCTGTGTCATTCTGTGTCCAGACTCTTGAAATCCAATGTTTTTTATTTTTCCGTCGTTCTGCAGCTATTTAGTGTTTTTGGTTTCTTCATTTCATTGTTTGTCGTCGTAATGGCGCGCCAACAAGTGCGTGTCAGATTCTGCACAAGGAAGGTGCCTGGTAGGTGGTCGCTACACTCCTTTTTTGATGATTGCAGCCATTTCCAGAAAAAAGGAACGTACACAGGATTCACGAACGATAACAAAACGATAACGAAAACGATAACTTTTGGCATCAAAAATGGTCCGTGTGAGACACGGTCCTTTTTTCCTTTTCCCCTGCCTTTCCTCTCCCTTTCCTCTCCGTTTTCCTTTCCCTTCCTTCTCCTTTTCCTTCTCCTTGCCTTTCCTTGTTCTTTCCTCTTTCCTTTTCCACCTATTCCTTTTCCTTCTCTTTTCCTTTCGTTTTCCTTTCCTTTTTCTTTCTCTTTCCTTTTCCTTTCCCTTTCCTTTTCCTCTCCCTTTCCTATGCTTTCCTTTCCCTTCCTTTACTCTTCCTTTTCCTTTTCCCTTTCCTCGCTCATGTGAATCCTTTGGTCAAGGTGTGAAGCCAGCGCTTGGAAAAACGATAAGAGAAAAAAAAAGATAACGTGTGAAAAAAACAGTTGAAAGGGCTCGGGGTTTTTACAAGACCCCATATGTTTTTGGTCAAATTGTTCGGTCACCTAGCCATCTGGATTAGATGTAGCGTACCCTAGCTTGGATGATCCCCCCATTGGGGACGATCAGAGCTCAGGAGTCGCGCGACAGTAAGGCCGGCGTCAGTTCGGGGTCGGGATCGATTCTTGGAGACGACGAATTTCATGATGGAATCATGGAAGAATATATTGAACATATATCTGGTTGGTGGTTTGGAACCTTTGTTATTTTCCATAATATATGGGATAATCCTTCCCGTTGACTTTCATATTTTTCAAGATGGTTAAAACCACTAAGCAGTATTGAACATAGATCGATTAGTGATTGATTGGGATCCATTGGTATGGATAAAACATCGTCAAATGAGTCAAATGTGCACCCTACAGGTCTTCCATGTTGACCCAGAGCCTGTTCTGGATGCTGCTTTTTTGCTCGTCCTTTCTGCCTGATGATTTTTTCCTGGGGGCTCAACGTGGCTCAACGTGGCTCAACTGCCAACCAGTACTGCTATGCTGACTTTTGATTGCCATGGCCCTGCAGTCACTTTGCCAATGTGGAACCATGTCCAGCAAATCTCATATGACGGGCTTCGGAATCCCAAACGTCCATCGGCCGCACCCAGTCAACACAGTGATTTTCCAGGCAGGCATGTTATTGTTTTGGTTGTGTCAGACTGAATTGCCCGGGCGATCGGCGCATGGGCGCATGGGCCTGCGCATGGGTGAATTGTGTATCGAAAAAACATTCGAAACAACATTCCCCGTAATATCTAAATCATTCCAAATCTAAATCATCAAATTTCAACAAACTATTCCTCCTCAATCTCAATGGATGTTCAGTCGAAAGTTCTAACTGGTTTCCAGGGGATCGGTAACAGGTTTGCCATCGGGAAGTGGGTGCCAGCTCATGCGTAGTCCTTAGAGGTGTTCCATAAGGATAGTTCAAAAGCTCTCAAAACCGCCCTGGTGAGCCTCAACATAGCTGGGTTTTACGGATCATCCAAATTTGGTAGTACCCATAGGATCCATGGTGCTGGTATATCGGCTAACATGACTGGGGTATATTGATGGTAAATGTAGCCATTTCTAGATATATCTAGCATACATGGATCCTATGGGATTTGGTAGTAGGTTTTGAATGGTTAACATATGGATCCCCATATGTTTCGTGCGAAAAGGGATTGTGTTCAATTGCGCCAGGACAAAATCCTAATCTTTCCTTCAGAGCCACTTGGACATGGCAGCGGTCTGGAGAGTTGAGAGTTTCTGGATGGGGAACCGAGCCATTTAAAATACCTTTCAATAGCAGATTTCACCAGTGTTTATAGGGGTTTTTAACAAGGTGTTTTACTGTAACATGTGTTGACTATCAGCAATATAATATATACGTATAGCTATGAGAATGTAGTATAGTTAGCAAATGAAGGTAATGATGGTCGATGGGCTAGTCTATAGAGGATTATGAAACTAATAAATTCGTTTGTTGGGGACAATTACAACCCATCGGGTACTTGTTTATCAACCTGCCTAATAATCGGTACCAAGATCAGGATGTAAGCAACAAGAAGAGGTATTTAGAAACAATACAGAATCAAACCTGAGTAATTACTGTAGATCATAGTAGATCCGGGTAAATGAGTGGCATTGAATGGCATTGATATGTATTCAGAAGTGTGTGTTCCTTCCGACATGGCAAAATGTGATAGATAACTTTGCAAGGCATTCCTACACTCTAAGATACAGTAAGGATAGAAAAGCTATGATCACTTTAAAAGCCAGCTTTTGTTTACATCAGCCCCATAGGTCCGGTGACACCGGTGACACCCCCCGTGTTGCCCCGAGCAGCTTTGGGATGATGCAAAACGAGGTTTCGTTTGAAGCAGCATGAATGGTCTGAGTTGGCTTACCGCTCCAAGTTTCTCAGCCAAAGTTGGTCCACGGAAAATCATCTCTGGAAGCCAAACATGGAAACCAACACCTGGGATCTTCCTGATGTATCTTATGGTCGACTGGAAGTTCATTCTCTGAACATGTCATGTGAGATTTTGTTGGGTTGTTCGGATCAAACATTTCTGGCTGAAACTCGAACAGCCTCACTGAGCTCACTGATGATGCTCCGTGATTCGTGTAAATCATTCCAAAATGACCGTGTTTTTTTTCTGAACATAGGATACACCTACATAGACTGGTTTATCATGGTTTATCATTATTGTTCCTATTCAAATAGCGTTTTGAGGGTACACCAATTTGTAGCGATACCTTTGTGTCAGATGTGTTCTTTGCTTAACACGTTCTACCGGGGAGATGATTCATGGCAATCTTGCTTACGTTCTCATTCTGCTCGTTAGGTGACCTAGTGCCCGTATAGTGTGTGGCTTGGATATGAACAGTTTGGATTTCAGCGGGCACATGTGGTCACTAATGCTATCGAGTACGGTAAAATTATATACGTGCACTACTGATATATACAATATATATATATATACACATACATATCCAATTACATGGACTTCCAAAGTACGGAACTTGGGGGTAGATACTCCGATTCTGTCACACACCGTTGTCCACCCGTCGCTTACCGTACGTCGTTCAGGTTGTGCCTTTGTCCGGATGGCGATTCACCCAACACCGGACGCCTTGTGGAGGCAGCGAGTTGTGTGGAAACTCATTTAAAAAGCTTGGGTTTGATGATAGCATTGGGGTTATAACACGAATTTGATCATGGAATCATGGAAGAATATATTGAACATATATCTGGTTGGTGGTTTGGAACCATGGAATTTTATGACTTTCCATATATTGCATGGGAATCTCATTATCCGAACTGGCGAACTCGTAATTTTCAGAGGGGTTGAAACCACCAACCAGTAGCATTGGGGTTATAACATGTGAACAAAAACAGCAAACATGATGGGGATATCATTGGATATAACTGATCAATGAATATGTTGATGATGGTTTAACGATCGTTGTCGTAGATTAGACTCTACAGTAAGAGTTTCGGCTTTTACATGCTTTTCAAGCGCACAACCATATCCGGGGAGCAACACTGCATGACATGGCCACTCTTAGATACCCTTTATATCCCTTTTTTACTGTACCCCATCGGAGCTGGTGCCTACACCGAGCAAGCTCCGGAGCTCCTGGTCCGATGGCAAGCTCGCGAAGTCGACATGTCATCCTGGATGGAAAATCTTGAGGTTCTTATTTTCAGAATATTTCTGTATCTTCTGTTGAGCCAATGATTGATAACAAGGGTTGATCACACATCCCCAAATGTTGAAAGTGAGCTTCGTCCATCTACAGATACACCATGTCCAACATGCCTGACCAAGGCTTAGGCATTGCCATTGTGTGCTGCTGAGGTGTTTGAAGGTTTGCTCGTTAGACGTGTCCAACAATAGCAACCAGCGGTAACCATGATTTGAGGTGAGTAATGGAGGTGAGCGAAAGTGCGCGATGCTTCTTTTCAGTGGTTATTGCTGATGAAAAAATTGTCAGTCCTCTGTTGGAATTCTTCAAATTGGTTGCATCATTAGCAAACGTTGTCTGGTGTCACGGCAGGGGAAGCGCCAATGATTTCATCCATGGGAGGATATGGGAGGCAGTTCATCTTGAAGATAAACCTTTAATTCGAATATTCACGGAACACCAAAGAAACATTGTTCCAATCACCTTCTCAATTTCCCCTGGTTTTTTTTTGCAGGTCTACATTGACATTGCTTCAGGTCACTAGCCGTTGTTTCTTGATCAGGTGATCATGCATGGCTGTGTGCCTGTCATCATCTCCAATCGATTGCAACCTCCCTTCCATCAGGCGCAATGGTGGGGAAAGATATTCAGGGTGCACCCAAGTCAAGGTTGTGTTAAAAGGGAAAATTGCTGGAAGCTGAAGAAGTCATCGTGATTAATCATCAACTGCTTGGTGGTTTGGAACCATGGATTTTTTGGGTATGTCATTATCCCAACTGACGAACTCCATCATTTTTCAGAGGGGTAGGTCGACCACCAACCAGTCAAAGTCTGGGATGCCAAATGTTCAGGCATGTTCAGTCAATCTCAGTTTTTCAGCTCCAACATTCCAAGATATTCCAAGTGATTTGTATTTTTTCCAAAGCCAAAAGTTCAGTGGTGTGACCCTGTTGATATATATATATATATATATATATATATCAACTCCAGAATACAACCTTGGTCAAATTTCCACGCCGGGAATATGGCCAGAGATCGCTGATGCTTGCTACATGTTTGCGGAATGTTCGGGTGCATCTTTTGACAGCAAAACTGCAACATGTTTTTCTTGATCGCTGGTGAAAAACTCGTGTTTTCCTGGTGATGCCAACATTTCATGGCTGGTGGGAAGATCAAATCGTACTCAGCCAGTTAGCCATTGGGAATCGAAGTACGCCGGTTGGGGGACTTACGAGCCGTGGATGCAAAGCATATACTTTCAAAAACATGGGTGATATCACCATTCTATAATGGGTTCAACAGTCCAAATGTTGGTATGTTCTAGTTTTGTTGATTCACTACTTGAATAACCATCCATTGCAAAGGCCTACTTTACTAACAGTCGCATAAATTTGGCAAGTTTGGATTCCAAGTTGTTTTCAGTTTGGTTCCCAAAAGCCAACCCAAAACTGCTTTTGGGGTACTCTTCAAAGTTTGGTTTAGTCCGAACATGTGGCATATATAGCTTCAAAAACTTGCAATTTCAATCCAGAGCGTCGATGGACCATTGGATGCAGGGGTGCCTTAATTTTCGGCAAACCAGATTGTGTGATGGTCAAATCCATATATATATATATGATACTTAAATCCAGTTGTTGCATAACTCTTGATTGCTGTCCCGTTTGTCATGTCTACTTGGATGTCAGTGGGAATTTCAGGATCCATTAAAAATGGAGGTACATGTTCCATTCTTCATGGCCATACCTGGGGAGATTCCCTGAAATTGAGCCCTAAAAAATAGGCCAAAAATAATTGGTAGGTACCTCCAATGAATTGGTTCCTGGAATGGCCATTGAAAATATGGTAGTTTCATGTAGTTTCCTAGAATAGGGGTACCCCACTAGATGGATGGTTTATGATGGAAAATCAATATTGGTTCCTGGAATGGCCCCTTCAAACTTTTTGGGGCTTCACCCAAAATCTCCATCCCACCGGGACCCGTCGTCCGCAGTATTTGGACTGGTCCCGCATCGCCTTTTTCCTGCGGGAAGACGCCATTCCTGAGCTGCGGGCGCGCCTAGACTCTCGCGGCACGGCGACCAGCCGTGATTTAACCTTGTCAGGTGAAGAATATCTACAGTAAATCATTTAATATACAGTTTATAGTACAGTGCTAATATATATATATACATGATTCAACAAATTTCATGATAGTAAGAGCACTTGCACTATATAATATTTGTTGTTTTTTCTTGCAGTAGTGGTTTATTTGGTTAGACATGTTCTTTTGAAGTTGAAATGCAACAAAAGGCCGCTGATATCCATACGATATTCATCGATATTCTACTAGATAGCAATGAGAAATCAGACCTAGTTGTACTGTAAGGTTAACTTCGTTGTTTGAGCTGATGTGCTTTCAAGATGTGCTTTCTGATGCCAAAGCGACTTGGGACGAAGCTTCAAACCGCCGTTCTGCGACGCACCTTGAAAAATCGATTCGCCTCCACAGAAGTGTCCCTTGCGAACCCACAACCCAAGGCTCACCTTCAGGGAAAGACAGCAACATGTGGCGTAGAGGAACTACAAAAACAGCAAAAGCTTACCATCGAGGCGTGGTTGCGCAAAGGTTACTGGCGATTTAGGGCCACGACAGGGTGGGACCGTTTTTTTTGGCACCGTCCCTTGCTCCACAGTCATGGCCACGGATCTTCAGAGCATCGCGGCAGAGGCAGTGTCGATTCTTGCGCAGGTGAATAGGTGATGAGGTTGCTGACTTGCCAACTGACGTTTTTGAATCGGCTGAAATGTTCAATTGGTGATGTGGAAAGGTCCCTGCCATGTGGACTGCAAGACAAGTGGCACAACCCCCTGTCCTCATGGACTGTGGGGATCAACACGGCTACAGACCCCATGTCCAAGCATGGATTCCCTTGGGCCCCAAGAAGAAACCGTAGGTGAGAAGAAAGGCTGCGATGTCGCTGTCGCTCTTGAACCAATTGCATCCAATTTTGACATATTTTCACCATTCTTTCATTGGAACTCTTGGTTTTAATAGGAGTTTCGCCTTTGACTCGATTGACCCTCAAATCGCAAAAAACACCTGTTGGTCCAAGCTGGCCCATCGGGGTGGCAAAGATGCTGTTGGCTGTGGGAAAATCCATCTAGATATACCTCAAGTATGAAAAGGGTTGTGCATCCCACCGTAAGGTTACGTCCTCGCTCCCACAGAAAGACTCATGGAGCGTGTTAGCCACCGCTCCGCAATCAAATCATATTTGCAACTGGTTATTTCCCAACCCTCAACGACAATTGTGTGTTTGCCTGCTTTTAGAACCCTAAATAACTGTGCATCCCTAGGGACCAAATGTGTTTATCTCCATATGTTTAACTAATTATATATTATATATTGTTTATGTCATTTTTCCTATCTTTCTGCTATATAATATGGTTCTACAATATTTATTTGTACATATATATATATATGCATATATTTATATTGACTGGAACAAGCCACATATATGTACAGATCTGTATGCATAAAGTGCAAAGATACATCTTCAACTATTTGCACCAATGCTCGATCTAGCCCAATGAGGCCTCGGATTCTCCGGGAGAAGTTTCAAGGCGCGTACTTGGACGTCTCGCAAAACAGCGGTGCAAGTGAACTTGGCGATTTCACCCAGCAAAGTGGAAGTTGACCACTTTGCTAAGTTGGTGTAGTTCGAAAAGTTCGAACATTTAACTGTTGTTTTTTGTTGGGGATGCGATAACTGTGGAAGGAAGATTGGGGTTTTGAAGCAATGAAAATAACGTGTGGGTGCCACCTTGTACAATCGAAACTGGAGCGTAAGAGAAACCCTTGTTATTAAGTGGTGATCAGTCCGCACCGTGGCCATCTTCATTAACATCTGAATCCCGGAATTGCATGATGGGAAAATTGAAGTGTGCAACCCCTTTGTTTAAGGTGAAAAGACACGGTTTCCGGCTAAGATTCTGTGTATCCAGTGATCATCCTATTTTGTGTTTCATATAATATGAATTCATTTACAAATATATACATATATATATATATATATATGTATATCCCCATATATAATTTTGGTTAATCCCAATGCATTGTCTCTGAAAACAGGGTAACCCAAGAATTGATTGTTAATCATCATTGTGTCCCTCAAAAATTACAACAATTGGGGGTCAACCATCCCATCTTCAGACACAGCAGCGACAACTATGGTGACAAAAAAACATGTTCATTGTGACGAAAATGTTCATTATTTTAAACCATTTACAATAATGATGGCGACCGCACTGCTTGGTGAATCTGGTGCTTTGGGGATCCCGAACATCACTTGAAAAAGTATCTGTTGGAGATTGTATCCACAATAGTTGGATATGGTTGGGTCATGTTCGCGTAGGACATTTGCCAACCCCCACTGTCAGATTCCACTAAACCACTAGTAAATGATGATTACCCTTACCCAGTTATTATCCCATTGATATCCCATTCTTATCCCTTGAAATCCCTATAAGTCCCTATAAAATCCATTTAAAATACCATCAAATCCCATTAAATCCCATTAAATCCCATTAAACCATGAAACAAATACCATCCCCATATGCTTCATGTATGGTATATTTACTTACAAAACTGTGAGATTTTTAGGGTAAATGCGGTCCCGTGGGCCCCTTGGGCCAGGCCCTGCAGGCGCGCGGCGACTTGCGGAGAAACGGCAGCTGTTGCGACAGGCACCAGCTGCGATGTTTCGCCCATGTGGTCCTGGTGGCGCCCTGGTTTATAATAGGACAACTAGGGATTTTTCACCATGAAACATTGGAAAAACAAAAGTGATCTAAAGTTGATCTATATATATATAGTTAGATAATGGTTGGTGTACTTGCTCGTATTTCATTAGGGTTTTTACCCGACGTGTCTATAGTTGATGGGGGCTACAGACCAAGAAACATAATTAGGGGGTACCTTCTTGTAAGAGGGGTATAACCTTAGTCACTTAGTCATTGATGATATAGTTAGAATATAACAGGTAACTAATGACACTAATATATATATATATATAGCTGGCCAAATCCACATGATATGTGATGATTAAGGGTGTGAAATTAGTTCTGAAACCAAAGCAGGTCATCGGGACTGAAACAGTGAAAACCTTGGCATTTAGGAAAAATTAGGGTATGATGTTTAGATGTTTCGCCATAAATGCAGGTATTACTATCTAAACATATATCTAAACCAACATTATTGATTGGTTGTGCAGGGTTTTTTTGAGTGGCACTGTGACATGCTCAGTCTGTGGGTTATAAGCCCTTATAACTGATATGACACTATTTGTGCATTAGAAACACCGATCATCCAGAATCCTATTTAAAATCCCATTGAAATCAAGCCTTAAATCCCCATAAAATCAGCCATTTGACCAGATGTCGCACCTTTGCGACTACGCTCGCGACGGCGTTGGTTCAACTGTGCTCATGGCCTTGCGAGCTGCTCGGAGGATATGGATGGAAGGATGGGCAACGTGCTGTGCTGTTCCATACCATAGACTATTCTTAATGCATGGTGTTTCTATATAATATATAATTATTTTTTATTAATTGTATATATATATATTGAATATACATATGTATATATATATATATGATTTATATATATATATATATGGAATATATATATTTATATATATATATACACATATGGAATATATAACTTATACAACTATTAGTACTATTAGCTACTATTTTGGATGATGTTGTCAGCCCCATTCTGGGTATACCCTTGGTTGAATAGTATTTTTTGCCAATACACCTGGATATTTATATATCTGGTTGGTGGTTTGGAACATGTTTTATTTTTCCATATATTGCGGAATAAGAATCCCAACTGACTTTCATGTTTTTCAGTGGGGTAGGTCAACTACCAACCAGATATTCAATATCGTACATATCTATATGCTAGCTGCTAACCAGCCAAAAATGCACAGTTTTGGTTTGGGGACGTTCACAACCAAGAACCTGCATTTCCGTCATGATAGTGTCAAAAGTGGCCAGTCTGGCCAGTAATAACGGGTATATGCAGGCGGGTCAGACATGACTCCTGAAGTTGCTCTATACTAAGTGGATTGTAAGCCGGAAAAGAAAAACACTTCCATAATTATGTTTTTTTTGTTTTTTTCGATGATGGTCACCCTGAATGTACCGATAGTTATAGATGTGTTATCCCTACATATATACATGTAGTTTGATATAGTTTGATAGTGATATTATTGACTTTATCTGGGTCGATTGAGGGTATTCAACCGGGATCAACGGGGGAACCAGATCAAACAGAAGAACCAGGCCATGATGATGGTATACCAACACTGGAGGCCTACAGCCGGCATTGTAGGAAGCACTGGGCGTTGTTGTGATCAACCCGAAGCATTCATGATCCATCGGATACGACAAGACTTGGGAAATGCATCTAGGATACAATTTTGCAGGGGCTAGGAGTAATATGGAGCCTCCTCGAGCACATGACTTGCGCTCCCCCAACAAAAAAATCACATGGGACACCTTTTTGATGAAACTCTGAAGATTACCCTCTGGTAATTTAACATAGCTATTCAAAATGGTTCATTTATAGTTGATTTACCTATGAAAGATGGTGATTTTCCACTTCGCAAACTGTAAACGTTTACCAAAGGCTATTTTCTGCTTGGAAATCGCTTTCTGTTGGACTTCCCTTTCTGGGCCTTCCCGTCCGCTGAGGAGTTGGCACGCGAACTGAGGGGAGAGGATTGATTTCCATCAGCGATCAGATCACCAAGATATTTTTTTAGGTCTGATGTCATTGCAGAACTGCAGACAAAATAAATACTGGTTGGTGGTTTTAAACATGTTTTATTTGGGAATAATGATCCCAACTGACTTTCATATTTTTCAGAGGGGTTGAAACCACCAACAGAATAGCATTTGGTCCATCTTAAGCGTTCTTCAAACACAAATCATTTGAGTGCATGTTTGTAATTGAACGCCACCCCAAGTCCACTTCTCAAAGGTTTCAAAATGGTGGATGCCCAGAATTTATAATTACGGTATTTTTCTGGGAAAATATGCTGTAGATTTCCACGCATGGGATACCATTGAGTTCTGAAGTTTGAGAGACAACTCCCGTCTGAGGATCGCGTCATCAGTCGTACTGATGAATCAATCAACTATTAGTTGAAGGCTGGTTGGTGGTTTGATTGAGTCTCTTTAGCATTCTCATAGCTGGGATGATGATCAGAGTGTAAAATCACCAACCAGTGGATGCATTATAAATCATTTTGAAGACCTCCATGTGATGGGAGAGGCCCTACTTTTAAATGACAACCCCGCGCCGAAAAACGAGTGATGGGGGCCTGGAAATGCAGAGAACGAAGGGTAGCTGAAGGACTCTGCAGACTTAGCTGTTTTCAGCCTGTCTCGATGTGGTGAGTCTTTTGAGCTTTTGGCTGGAGGACTTGGGTTCGACATGTCACAGGCTCGAAGCCATGACAGGAGCTGTTCAGGAAAGTCAGCGCCCTTTTTCTGGTGACCAAACATCAACACACAAGGGCCCATCAAAGTCCGGATGCGGAAAAAAAATCCGAAGATCAGAAGTTATACCCTCTGGTAGCCGTTTACGTAACTATGGAAAGATCCACGATGCTAATAATGGGTAAATCCACTTTTTCTATGTCCATGGCTTCAATAGCTTTTTGTATGTTTACCAGGTCGGGTAAGGTTCCATCAGCAGACATTTTTTTCTACGAAGCCACTGGAGCCTTCGGCCGGATTTCGATGTCAAGTGTGAGACCCAGGAGCGATGGCAATGGAAGATCAGTGCTAATGTAATGTCGTTAAAAGATGTTAAAAGATGTTAAAACAATGCCCTACATGGTTACCACCCATTTTATGGATGGTAACCATACCACCTATAGTGAAATTGAGTTTATTATTGGTTTTACCGTTTTACCAACATTTTTGGGATATCAAAGCGGATATCTGGGCCCAATTTGTTTCACTCATGTGATATAGATATGGCAATCAACTTGACATGGATTATTTGACTGGTTCCAAAAGAAATGATGTAGATACCATTTTTGGCTTGGGAAATGAGGCTTTCAACCCTGGATTTTGGGGAATCCTCCGGCAATCAAAGATGTTTTCATGGAACAAAGCAGATTTATAGACAACTTTCCCATTGAAACCTCCATTTAGTTCAGGGAATTCCCATTGCCAGGTTACCATCTTTGATTAGCGGATGGGAACCACAGATTTGCGTTCTGGTTTGAGTAGTAAACTCTCCCGTGTTAACCTGCTTTCACGTGACCAGAAGTTGTCAACAGATCCCATTTTCAAAAGGATTTAAGGTGAATTACCACGGTTCCGACACGTGTTCAGGTCTTTCAGGTCAAATCACAAGCCAAGAAGGGAGGACCTTGTTGAGGTTGATCGACTAAGTCCTGAGTTTCCCAGTGCGCCGAGGCAAAGCTTATGCCGCAAGCCAACTGAAGGGCTTTTGTGGACAGGCCGCTTCGCTTCCCATGGGGGATGGTCATCCATTCACAAGAAGCTTAGGTTTGTCACCTCAGTTTAAACAACAACGTATGACACAAAAAGCTTCAATCCCAGTTTCAATATGTTTCAATGATGTTTGATTGCTACCTAATCCCGTTCATGTTTTCCATATGTTTGGATGGTTAAATGAGTTAAACATGTAGTTCCACGTCAGGGTCCCGGCCTGCCGCCGCTGCCTGGCAAGCGGCCCTCGCCGCCGACAGGCGCCGCTAACTCGTCGGACTGCAGTCGCAAAGTTGGTTTATATCTTCAATTTCACCACGCTTTATGGTAGATATATGGTTTTAGAAACCAACTAACCTAACACTTAGCAGGCCCCACTTCGTAGAACCACCGAAAATAGAAATTCCATATGATTATATGTATATTTATTATATATATATTATGTTATATATATGTATATATTATGTTATATATATATGTATATATTATGTTATATATATATATATATTATATGATTGCTATACTGTAATCCTCTGGTATTCGAAAAATCTCCAGGAAAATCCCAAGGCTTGTTTCGTTCCTTTCATGTTTTTTTTTCGCATACCCGTTTTGGTGGGGATTTCCCCCAGCAGCCTGCCATGTTAGAGCCTACGGGTGGAAAACCGAACCAGTATTTATAATGTTTTCAAGAGGGGTGTGGTGGTGGGGTGGGCTAGGTTAACAGTAATGGTTTGCAAGAAAGGTTTTCCACCCGTAGGCTTCATCAGCTAAAAGATATTGGTTCATTCACTGTTTGCTTTTTACTCCTCATGGCATGTTTTTGGTGACGGCGTCCCTCGAGGGGCAAGACTGTTGTCACGTTTGTCTATTGTCTTTTTTTGGGTGGGTTTTCGGGTGTGTTTTGGGGGGGATTTGGGGGGGTGTAATAGCGTCCTGTGGCCTGCGTTGTCAATCACAATTTCCTGATACGTTGTAACATCTTCGTCCAGCAACTTGTAAGACGTTCCTGATACGTTGTAACATCTTCGTCCAGCAACTTGCAAGCCGTTCCTGATACGTTGTAACATCTTCGTCCAGCAACTTGCAAGCCATTTCAGATACGTTGTAACATCTTCGTCCAGCAACTTGCAAGCCATTCCAGATACGTTGTAACATCTTCGTCCAGCAACTTGTTCCTGATACGTTGTAACATCTTCGTCCAGCAACTTGTAAGACGTTCCTGATACGTTATAACATCTTTGTCCATGCGTTTGTTGAAGCAGGCTGTTCCCAAGTCTCTTGCTTCGAAGAAAGGCCACACTTACAACCCTTCTTTGTTCAAGCATTGCAGATCCTGGCAATGGAGATGGGAGAACACTGGCGCCTGCTTGTTTCAAAAGACTGCCGAAGTCTTGAATGAGACTGTCCAGTCTGGATGACAAGTGCTCTGCATCCTTGGCGATAGACAAAATGGCGTGCAGAAGTCTGCTAAAACCTGAAAAAATGAAGAAACATAATTACAAAAAAATGACGCTGATTTTGCAAGCTCATGAATGCAGAAAACATTGCAAAACGCAAGAAAAAAGCCAAAACACATTGGCACGGCGAATGTCATCAACTGAAATGTGTGCCAAAACCATGCGTTTCATATGAACGCCAAGAACAGACATAACATGGGTTCAGTTTCCCACCCGGCAGGATGTTTGACTGGTACCAGTTCTTGGCAAAAATCCCCAGTAGAATGTGCCGCATTTTTTTTCGGAGCCAGGACAAGAATGTGATCTACCATGATCAATGGGAATTCCAGGATCCTAAAATGGAGGTACACCATATAAAGCCATATTTTGGGGCTGATATCCCCAACAATAGCCCTGAAAAAAAGGTCTTATATGGTAGGTACCTCCAATCAATCGGTTCCTGAAGTGGCCATTGACATGCTTTACTAAACAAAGAACTTGTTCTTTTAGATCTGGCAGATTTTGGGATCACTGCCGAAAAACGCGCCCCAACCAGAGCTCAGTTGTGCGATGAACCACGAACTGTGTGTTGTGTAGTCATCGAAAATTGAGGCCTGCAGACCACACATGTTGTTTGTCGTTACGCTCATTTTGAACGGCCTGCGTGGTGATTTGACCATTTTACCATTGATGAAAGCACATCAAAGTTGACATAATGATGCACGAAACCATACGGCCATCTATCGCCGCCAGACCTAGTAGTTGCCAATCCCGTTCACCTTGTCCCAGCTTCGTTCGCAATCATCACCGGATGTAAGGGGTTCCTATTCGTCTCTGTGGACTAAGGAGTTGATTGGGATGTAAAGGGAATCTCTACCGATGGTGGGAGGACGGTGACAAATTTGTGAATGGGCAATTCCCAAAGCCTGTTCTGGTCTGATTCTACTCCTACTGCTTGGAGAATCCCCAAAGATTGGTATGAACAGTTGCTATTTGGTTTTGTTGGTTTGTAGGCGGATTTTTTTAAAATAATAGTGTCAGAATAGTGGATATATATATATATATTATATTAAATATTATATATGATTATATATATATATATACATATTAACTATATTATATACACACGGTTTGGGATAAATGAAATCTTTGATGCCAGGTGTGCCATCTCCCAATGGCGCCTATTGTGGCTCCATCAGGCCCTGGTGATGGTGGAAGCCCTATATAGAAATGAGTGGTTTTAATGGGTTTCACCATGAACTTAAATGATTTAAATGGGGCTTGGGAGTTGATAAAAAATGATAAAAATATGAGGTTGGCTTAGTTGACTACTGTTTCACTGCGTTTGTGGTGATGCAATCACTAGGACGTTAGATGCAGGTTATACAGGACCTAATCATGGCTATAGGGGGTGGAAATTGATGAATTTATATATCGACCCATTGCCTCCCCACCATCTGGGCTATCCAGAGAAACCAGAGAAACCATTGTAGATTATCATATCGATGGACAATCCACCAATTATAGATCTTTACTTAAGGAAACCATGGTCTCTTTTAACTATGTTGATTTGCTGGAAGGTGGATTTACATATGTCTATATAAATATATAATTATATCAAATATATACATATATATTCTTCTGAAAAAGGCCCTGCCAAAATATAAGCAAAGAAACACGTTTTTTTTTCTGATGTGAATTCTATTTGCTTGACCATGCATATATGTGTTGATTGTGTTGTTTGTCCAAAAGTTATCCAGTTCTATTTGGATTGTTTCAGCAAAATTAGAATCATAGGCATATTTATGCTCAGAAGAGCTCATTTTTTTGGGACGCATCAAAATTAAACTTCATTTATTCGCTGTTGGTGGTCAATACGTTCAATTGTTACTATTCTAGGGGCGCTTATTTGCGGTCGTTTCTTCGCTATGATCCTTCAGTCGGTGCAAGATGTTTTGATCCGCCACACCCCGTGAAAAAGTTCCTTGGATGATTCTGGCAATGGCTACAATGTGAGGCCCCCCTGTTATAAGTTGGTTTTTAGGCCCCAGTAACTATAGTTATAAGTACCACCATAAACCATAGTTATTGGAGTTATAAACCAACTTAGCTATCTTGGGGGCCTCACATTGTACAGTACACAGTTGGTAATTAATGGGGTTTAAACGCGCGCATCATCAGCCTCCAACACTTGATCACAGCTAGGATCATTGATCCAATGGCGAGATTTTCTTCCCAGCTTGCTCGCTTCAGTGAACTCCAAAAGCTGGATCCATGTCTCCATGTTTGTCTTTGTCCATCGTCTTACAAATTGAGTACCTATAATGTAATATATACAAGTGCAAAAACACGTGGAAGGAGCTTTGGGATTGAGCATGCTTTCCAGAAAAGCCGCTTCGCTGCGTGTGTAGGCGTTCGCACTCAGCGACAGCCATACGGTACAAAGGCTTTAAATGGGTCGGTGATTTCACACCTGGCGGCTGATGAAGAGTGGAGTTACATGAAATTTCTAGGCGGAGGCCCATAAAACTTGGTTTACAACTTCAAAGTTCTAAGGTTTACAGGGGATAGTATGGTTAGATGGCGTTACACCAGCTTACAACTGGGGAAGGGGCCCCAACCTGTGGTGCCAGTTTACAACTTCAAAAACTCAGGTAATACACGCCGCGTTACAAGCCAACTTTTTGTGTAAGCTACCATGATAGCAGAGTCGATGCAGAATTGGCAAGGTTTGTATTGTTTCAACACTTGGATGATCTCTGAGCTCAGCTAAACAGTAGCGCTTTCAGCGGGAAGGTCCAAATTGATACCAAGTTGTTTTTTTGGAAAATTGGGGTACACGGTATACCCCAAACGGAATTTTTAAGAGGGAAAATGACTATAGACTTTGGGTATCCCTTTTCAGACCAACCCCGAACCGGGTTGATAAAGGTTGATAAATGGTGTGTAAATCATACACCCCATTCTCAGGGTCCCAACATGGGGTACATGGGTGGCCGTCCCACTCAGATTCAAAAACCATCGGAACATTCAACTTGACAGATTTGTTCAACAGCGATGTGAATGGATGATATCAATGGATGTCATGTCGTAAGCCCAATCATAATCGCGCATGTGTTTGATTGTTTACACACTTTGCACCCCACCCATTTCTGTTAGATTGTTAAATCATCACGTATTTTTGAAGATATTGGGTTGACTACATTAAATATGATAGTAAGCCCCTAAGCCAGATAGTCTTCAGTAAATCATCATCCTTTGGTGGGATGATGCTGAGTTTATCTGTTTGGTCTGGACATGCAATTTAAATCACAAAATAAATTTTGAACATGTCCCATACATGTCCCACATAGATCCCATTTCCACACATTTTGTCCCATACATTTCCCATACATGTCCGATTTCCACACATGTCCCCATACATTTCCCACATAGATCCCCTTGATTGCAGCCGTTTTTCGCCAGGTGCTGCCCCACGGCTGTCGCCCTTGAAGCACGCAGGGGTCCATGCGCGCACGGAGGAAATGGCCTCGACGGAACCGACGACCGAAGACCCAGCTGGGGGTCGTCCAACAATAGCTATGAATCACTATTAACCCTTATGAACCAACCATGATTCACAAACATTGATGGCAACCATTAGTAATCATTGATGGCAACCAAGGAAGGATTGACTTGATGAAAAGTGATGTTTGAAGCAAACAGGTGCTAAATCATCATCCCAATTAGTGACCTTTGATATCTTATTTGAACTGTGGGATTGGGCCGCGCAAGGAAGACAGGATGCCTTATTTCAGCCTCGCCAGAGGAATCACTGGAGGCTAGAAGGTGATGCCACATAGTTCGCTAAGTTGGTTTTTAACTAATGTGATGTGAGGGTTTATATGTGATTGTGACCATAGTTAAACATATAGTTCAACCATGTTAAACCAACTTAAAAAACTAGGGGACAGCACCTTGCATAGTATTGCCTTCAGCTACTACCCATGTCTGGCCCTACTTCCAGGATAATCGAAAGACGAATCTTCTTCTGGTCGTGCCAACAAGAATTGGTGGTTTGAACTCCGCAGAACGACATCCACCTTGGTCAATGCTGATACATAGAATCGAAGAATAGACACTGAGAATCGCCATTGGTCAGGTGAAAGCAGTATTCCAAGCCCCTATTTGGCAGGGTCTATGTTAGTTCCCGGGATCATGTTTCACAAAGTTGAGGGAAGATCTACAGGGCACGGGAAACCCTCAAAAATGTAGCGGTCAAAAATATTATTTTTAACTATAAAGTGTCCTTAAAATCATGGACCACAAGGTGGTGCCCCATAAATTAATAGCTAAGTTAGTTTATAACTCGGTTAAGTATCACTAGGGTTTGTTGTTATCCTAACTCTAGTTGGATGGGGGAAAAAAGCCGCCAACTTAGCTAACACCAATCAACTAATTATCAATCATGATTAATCCAACCATTTTCCAACCATTTCCCAACCATTTCCCAACCATTTTCCTGGTGTTCCAAGCATTTTTGTTTGGCGAAATCACACCACGCCCGCATGCCGTTTTTCACCAAGGAGCCGCAGCCGCAGCTCGCTTAAGGTCCTAGACTTGGCGCGGCAAGCTGAGGAGGCCGGATGCTGTGTATCATTGACAGTAAAATAATCCCCATTGTTCCGAAGGTTGCTTTCCAAAGTCATAGGGATACCCTGGGTAGCTTATATTATACCAAGTTTATATTGAAAGTTCGTGTTCATGTTCGGAACATAACTTGCTTCCGTTCACGATTTTAGTTCACTACTCCGCCGTAGCAACTTGGGGTGATGAAAAAACATATATTATTACATATATATATATAGTTATAGTTAGATGCGGTAAGAATCGGTAAGATAAGTCAACATTCATCAACATACGGGGCACCATCTTGTAGGTGTGTATAGCAACTCCAAAACATGCGGTGTGTCATGGGGACCCATAAACTCCTGATACAATGTGGATATTAAGGGGATACCCATAAATGGCAATGTTTATCCCGAAGATGATGACAAACCAGCATATTTTTCAGATTTAGTAGCACCAGATGTTCACACACATCCATGTTGATGAGTATGAACTCCGCAAGCAACTGACATAAATAACATAATGCTTGATTTTGATACCGTATGTAGAAGGCATTGGACTTAAATAAATTGTTGGGGTGTGTAAGTACAGTAGTTGCTCTAAATATACTCATGCTGTCTTTTGTTGCTTTATGATGTATTTAATGTAATGTACTTTTGATGGTTTTCTGATGGTTGGCGTCCTTGTGCCTATTTTGAACACGCTTTCCTGTACACAATGTATATTGATGGTTCTTAGCGTTTCCATCTTTAACGCATTTTACGATCTTTTTGATGGGCCTGTTGTGACCAGAAGAGATGGGAGGCTAGCTCAGAATGACACTAGTTTACCCATTTGAATTGAATCAAAGACGATCAATTAATTATGTGCCAACAATGAGTTTGAAGAACAGAATCATGCACAGACTTATGTTCGCTTTCTAGCAGTGTGATGCAAGGCCTGCTCTTGTTGAATCAACATGCAAAAGTCCCATTTCTCGCGTCGCAAGATGATTTGGAACTAACATGATCTAACCCCAACTGATCTTTACAGTACCAACAACTTCGAATCATACCATCCATTCAGTCGATAGATGTGCTTTTTCCTGGGGGTTGGGTGAGTAGTAGAGGAGCAACCTTCATTTTGCACAGCCAACCCCTAATGTTTCCAACCACTAGGGAAATGATGATTGCGATGACGACGGTGATGATGAAGAAGATGATGATGATGATGGTGATGATGACGATGACGATGATCATGGTGATGATGATGACGATGACGATGACGATGATCATGGTGATGATGATGGTGGTGATGATGATGATGACGATGACGATGACGATGACGATGGTGATGATGATGATGGTGATGACGCTGACAATGATCATGGTGATGATGACAATGACAATGATGATGATGATGATGATGATGATGATGACAATGGCGATGATCATGATGATGATAATGACGATGACGATTATCATGGTGATGATGATGATGATGACGATGAGGATGATCATGGTGATGATGGCGATGTTGATGATGATGATGACGATGATCATGGTGATGATGAGGATGATGATGATGGTGATGATGATGATGATGATAACGATGACGATGATCATGGTGTTGATGATGATGACGATGATGATCATCATCATGATGATCATCATCATGATGATGATGGATGACGATGATCATGGTGATGATGTTGATGATGATGATGTTAATGATGATGATGATGATCTTGGTGATGATGGCGATGTTGTTGTTGATGATGATGATGATGATCATGATGATGATGACGACGATGACGATGACGATGATCATGGTGATGATGATGATGATGATGATGACGACGATGACCATGGTGATGATGACGATGATGATGATAATGATGATGATGATGATGATCCGTATGTATCCGTATGTGACAATATAGGATTCAAGTGCATTTTGTAAGTGGGACTTCACTCTTGCTTTATCCTCATTGTTTCTTTTACTCCAGTCAATGGATTACTGCGAACATTCACAATAAACTTCCATATTTCAAGGGAAAATGCATGGTTTCGGGGAGATGTTCATACCTAAACCAGCCCATTCTGGTGAAATTTTGTGGCGAAGCCGCACCCTCTCCAGCGGACCTGTCAGGTGCTGAAAGTGGGAGATTGGTCGGTGAGAAAACTTCCCGACAATCCCGAGATCGCCTTTGCCGTGCCGGCGAAGTTTGAACCGAGTTTGGAAGGGGACTGGAGAAGGATTTTTTGACCGGGCCTATAGATTATAGGGTAAACGTTTACACAAAGATGTGGAAAACCCATGTGGTTTTCCTAGGAACATGATCTACATGATCTAGAAGTGGTAGGTTTTCAACATCTATGTTAGGTTACAGGAGGGTCACTCTTTTGAGCACTGCCCGAAAGATCTCAAAACTAGATTTGTTTTTTGGGTCTGAAAGTGGGGGATACCTCAAAAAGGACATGTTCTCAATTCGACAAGGAATGATTATCTATAAAAGTTTGGGGTAATTACCTCATTTCCAAACAAACCCATAAAATATATATATAATATAGTATTATATGTATAAAAATATTTTTGTATAATAATAAAATATATTGAAGAGAGATCATACCCAAATGTTCCCAAGATTAAGAATATGTTTTAGAGCGGTTTGATGACCTTACTCACCGTACTCCGCACGGTTGGAGGGAAAATTTACAGCTTGGCATCCAGCCCAAACGGGGGCTTGGAAACGATCGTTTCCTACAAGAATGTCCAAGCAATCAGCAATCCATTGAGTAAAGTATTAAGTCATGGCAAGTCATAAACCAGCTGAAGATTAAGTCAATGCAATGGATTCAGTCAATTAATTAAGCAATCATTTAGTCATTTTTTCGTCATATTAAGTCATTAAAATTCTGCAGTCAAAACCAGCTGAAGATGAAAGTATGTTACCAATGGAGAAAACATGGCGATAGTGGTGATCCTTCTGAAGTGATTGCTGAAATCAGCCAGTGATCATTACAGTGGCTTATGGTTATGGGATTTTGGTTTTTCTAAACAAATGTGAGATATGGGGGTTTCCATAAATGGCGGTACCCCAAATGGATGGTTTATGATGGAAAATCCTTTTAGAATGGATGATTTGGGGGGAACCCCATTCCTCCATATGTTGTGAGACATTTATATGTATATACATATATATATATAATATTGTATCCCCATGATATCCCCGTTACATCACCAGTGAAAGTCAACATAAATCATCATAAATCTAGATATTTTGGGCTTGGCGGCTTGGCAAACAAATGCACCTACAAAAACTGGTGCTCCCAACGATATGTTGGCCTAGCTTTGTGTTGCCCAAGCTCTCGACGGAGTCTCGATCATCCCCTGGGAGGTTTCAACATGTCACAACTCAGTAGACAACCATTGGATGAGTGTGGTAAACCCAATGTCATAAAACATCCCCAAGTCATCACCATGGAATCCCCAAAATGCGTTTATTGAATTGCCTTCGGCAAGCCCCGCCGCCCATAGAGAGGTGGCCCCAAGGGAGTTTGACGTGCACTCTAGGTGGAAGCCCGCGAGAGAAGCAGAAGAGAAAAGAAGGATAAGAAGAAGAAGAAGAAGAAGAAAGGAAGACGAAGACAAAGCCGTAACACGGAAGCGGCTTGTGTAGCAAGTGCTGGCTATAACAACCTTTTGATCGTATACCAAAGTAGTACCGCCCCCAGCAAAGTAGCGCCAGGTACTATGTATGAGCCTCTCTGTCTTGACAGCAGACCGCTGCACAGAAGGAGACAGGGTGGAAGCGGAGAGAGATTGCCCCAAGGTAAGTTGATGTGCACGCTAAGAGAAAGAAGCAGAAGAGGAGAACAAGAAGAAGAGGAAGAAGAGGAAGGAGAAGAGACGAAGGCAGAGCCGTAGATCAGAAGCAGCTTGAGTAGAAGTGCCTGCTTGAACAACCTATGGACCCCATACCAAATGAGTCCTGGTCGATTAGTTTAGTTCCGTGTGCGTCCTGTGACGAGTACCTGTAGACGACTGTAATGCTGTAGCATTAGCTACCGGCACTACCAGTTTAGTGCTTGGGGAAGAAGGGAGGAAGGAGTAGAGGAGTAGAAGTAGGAGAGCCGGAGCAGGCGTCGGGGTAGGAGTATAGGAGTAGGCAAAGGCGTAGTCGTAGTCGTAGTCGTCGTAGCCGCCGACGTCGTCGTAGTAGTAGTCGTCGTCGTAGTAGTAGCAGTATATAGTAGTAGCAGTTGCATTAGCAGTAGCAGTAGCAGTAGTAGTAAGAAGTAGCAGTAGTAGGAGCAGCAGCAGTAGTAGTACAAGTACAAGCACAAGCCAAGAACAGAAACAAGAACAACACCTTCCAATCAGACACGCCGGCAGGCCGGCGGATTGCTGGGTTTCCCACACTATATACATCTCCCACACTATATATAGATATATATATATAATATATATATATATAATTATATATATATATCTGTCCCGAAGCAAATCGGCCTTGGGATCGGTCAAAGCTAGGTCTACTTGAATGAGCAAGAGGGTCGCGTGGAGGCTTGCCCAAAGAGTAGAACTGGGTGATCAGTTGGACAACGTTTAGCAAGGACATGCAAGTACGCACACTGTGCTATAATATTCAGTCAGGGTATGAGAAAATCACCCCACTTGTGAGACTTGGCTCCCAATGCAGACACCTTCAACAGGGGGTTCAATGTCCGAAGGGCAGTTTCCAAAAAACTTGCTGTGCGGTTGACTTTCTTGGGCTTCGTTATAGCCAATATCATGGATTATCATAATATCGTATGGATATTGATGATCAACCACCCTTTTCGGCATTTAACATTGATCTAAGTCATGAGTTTCGGAGTTTAACCATATTTTAAGGAGGTTTCTGTTGACGTTTCTGCCTTTTTACATTTTGGATCCAGCGAAAACCGGGCTGCCCGGGCTTGTCCGCAGGTTCAAGCGCCGACAGAGGTGATCCAAGAACTTCAAGATGAAGGTGCTGGACTGCGATAAATGGGGATTAATGGTTGGTTTTATATCCTATTACTTCTCTATTCCAGAATTCATGGGCAATGATTGGTTGGTTTTATTCCAGTGGTTGGGATTAATGATATCCCATTACGTCTCTATATTCTCTTCATATATATAAATATATATGCCAAGGTATGCCTCATTTGTGTCCCCATAAATGTCCTGCTGGTGATATTTTCCCACGACTTCTCTCTAGCGCAATGTCTTCGCAGGTCTGCCTGCAGCGGACGGCCAAAACGACGAGGAGGCGATAAAAACCCAACGGTTAGTTGAATTGATACGGGATTCTACCCAATATATTGGCAAATAGTGGTTAATAGTGGTTTAATAGTGGTTAATACTGGTTAATAGTGGTTAATAGTGATTTAATAGTGGTTAATTTAACGATGGTTTAATAGTGGTTATATAATAATGGCTAATAGTGGTTTAATAGTGGTTAATACTGGTTTAATCATGGTAAATAGTGATTTCATAGTGGTTAATTTAACGATGGTTTTATAGTGGTTAATAATGGCTAATAGTGGTCAATAGTGATTCAATAGTGGTTTTATAGTGGTTTAATAGTGGCTAATAGTGGTTAATGGTGGTTACTAGTGATTTTAATAGTGGTTAATTTAACCGTGGTTTAATAGTGGTTAATAATGGTTAATAGTGGTTACTAGTGATTTAATAGCGGTTAATTTAACAGTGGTTTAATACTGATTTAATAGTGGTTAATAGTGCATAATAGTGATTTAAGAGTGGTTTAATAGTGGTTAATAGTGGTTAATAATAATCGATGGATTTGTTTAAGGGAAAATTGATACCGCAAAACCCCACGTTCAATGGACATTCCATGGTGTCCGGTTAAGATTTTCCCTTAAACCAATCCATTGCAATATGTTGAGGATTTAAAAAACAAGAGGGAAGTCCATATGAACCAACCATAATGGAATGACATTGATTTTGAACACTGCTCACTTGTAACATCAACTATTAGGTTATATGTAGTTAGGTTGGAAACCTCGATTTATAAATCACAAACTAATTTCACTAACTCTAGGGTTTTTGGTGATTATAACGATTTGTTGAGATGGAATGTATTAATCCTCAACCAATAATGCCTGGTTAATTATGATTCTGTTGGGTTTATGATGATGAAAAAAATATTTAGATAGGGCTATGAATCATAGACCAATTAAGAATACCTAGGGGTCGCCACCCAGGCTGACATGAGCCATTGGGATGCTATGGAGGATAAATTGATATTAATTGTGCGATTTGTTGGGCGCGCCTAATTTGTTCAGACGTGTCCATGTGATGTGTACCATATATATATATACACATATGTATATACATGTACATATACACTTATATGTACAATTCTGTATTTATATTTATCTAATTATTTAAATATATATATATATGTATTTATTGACTTGAATTTGTCTCCGTCTAAAAACACCAAAAATACGTATGTAGGTAAATCAGCCAGCAATTAGTCAAAGGGTCTTGGACGTGATTTTGGGTTCGGCCAATAATTCCGCGGCCTCTCTGTGAAAGTGGTTATTGTTATGAAACAGACCAGATTGCAAAATGTTGGATGGCCAGAATCTGCCGGGGAAAGGAAACATTTGGGGTCTTAAATCTGGACCATTTTTGACGCCCATTTGATCTGATCTTGTTTTTCCATCATACTGTAACGCTATGAACGCTCCAATCGATAAACTGTACGTCTCTCAAGAGAGACCACGTTGAATTTCAATTGTGTGTTATTATATAAATTCTATGTATATATATAATATACATAGTTACATGCATCAACTGAAATTTTGTCCTTCACGGATCTTTATGGCCCAAATTTAATTTTCCAGCCATTACTGGGTTGGTTGGCACCGAGTGGAATGAACGTCATGATTTTGGATCCGCAGTCTTCCGGTTTGAGAGGACTCATGTGGTTTTCAGTGTGCTGAAGACTATGGTTTGTGCAGCACCATCAGCATTGCTGTATTCTTAACATGCCAAAGAACAATTGTACCTTGTGTAGGGCCATAAGCATTGCAGTTGTGTTTGAATTGTTAAAAATGAGAGGTAAAGACCAACTAGCGTGTGCAGTGCAGCATTAAAATCATCGCCGTTTTATCACTGTGCTTTGTCTAAGCGCTTGTGCAACACACAAACACACACCAAAAAATATCGCGCATCGTCAAGTTAGTGGATCAAGATGGCACCCAAAGGCCAAAACCCTTCAGACCCTCCGCCCCTGCAAACTTGTTTTGTCAGCGTGCTCTGGCCGTTGTTCTGAATTCTTTGCGGCGCAGCTGCTAAGCTGAATGTTCGGTGCGACGTTTGCGTGCGACTGCGATAGCAACATGTTCGTGACGAAATTTTTTTGGGAACACCACCACTACTTCAATGATGTCTATGACAGAGTTTCTACGGGATGCCCCCTACGCGTGGATTTGTACATGCTGATGCTCATCATACCTATTGAAATCTAAAAAGGTTTGTTCCCTTAAATTGTATTTGATAAGGACCATAATGAGTAAATCAACTGGTGGATTTAAGGGCAATGTAAGCCCAAATATATATATATATATAAATATCCATGTTTTAGGGCAATGATTAGTATACATACCGCATCATACCACCCAATTCTGATATATGCCCAATAATGCACCCATTTTAGAGCCATTTAATGTGGTAAACCGAAAACCCAAAAATCACTTAATAAACCTGAAATTTTGGGTTCAAAAACGAACATCTACAAACCATCTTTGATAAAACTCGGTATGGTTTATGGCATTGTGTTACTGTACATTCCCCAGTTAGACGCCAGGAGCCCTCAGCAGAGCCTGAGCCCTGTCCCCTCTACCGGCGGATCTTACTGGGCGCCCAAACGGAGGTGCAACGCGAATTCCATGCATAGTGACTGACTTAGTGGTAATATCATGGAAGTTAAGTGGGTATAAAGAATGGATAACGATAGAAATTTACGTTTTGATGTTGTATTGTATTAAGGCTAAGGAGAAACTCCTGATGCTCAACGGTTCCTTGTTTGACAGAGGGTCCTGGCGCCGGTAAACGTCTCAAACCATATCAACATGTTTTTCTACAAAAACAGACATGTGATTGATAAAGCGAGCTGGGCTGACCAACATAACAATAAAGCGTCCGAAGCTTTGAATCCTGAACATCACGGACACAGGTCGGTAGATATATACCCCTGTAGCGAGTCTTAGTGTGGCAATTCGATTGGAAAGTTCCTGCCATGGCCACTTCCTTGGACATTTTCAGCAAGTGGACACTGATTCAAGCAGTTTTGTGTGGTTTGAGCCAGCTTCGACACAAAACTTGTTGGAAATGGCTCAGGTGCCGCTTCGGATGGCCCGAGATATCTTGGAAGCCATTCGAGAGGATGTGGACATCTTTCAGGAAGTACAGCCGCTTGTCCAAAAAAAGAGATGCACAAAATGTGATACCAAATGATACAAATATCATTGTCGGCCCATGGCCTTGAGTTTTTGTTGGGTTAACACACTTAAGATGTGGCCGTATTAAATAAGTTGATTTCACATTGAAATTGGTTGACACGTCAAAACTACAATATTATGTGGTTACTAGGTGTTGGAATGTGATTTTGCTGGTGGGCAATGGTCTTACATGATGTGGCCAACAGTCTCGTGACTTGGGGCGTTTTAGCGCGCGTTCCCATATGATTATGATGTTTTATTCCAGATTATTCTTCCCGTCTCACTCTTCTCACAAAACATTAAAAGATTGGGCAAAAGATGGCGCACTCTTGTGGCTAAAATCACCAGGAAATGGAGCCCAACATTTGGTCAATTGATATGTGTATAATTAATGTGTGTGTGTTCCGAATTTCTTTGAACTGATTGTGTTGCACATTACAATCCACATTCCCATCGATTGATTAACTGAATTGAGAATTCATCGCAACCAAAATTAGATGGTACTTTATGGTTCATGATTTATCTGCATTTTGAACACTGCACTGTGCAGTTGACCGTATACATGTTGCATATATATATATACACACATATATCGAATATATTTGGTTGGGGGAGGCATTGTGCCCCAGTCGAATCGCGTCCCGCCAGGCAACGATTTTCAGACTTGTTTGGATCTCAATGGGTGCTGCAGATCCATTTTGGGCGTGAATTCATGAGATGTTTCCCCTCCAGTTATGACAATTTTGAGAGGGAAACCATGATGCTTAACCAATGGAATCCAATGAGTTTAGTCTTTCTCTCAATTTTCAGTCGAAGTCCCATGACAAGTTATATGTAGCCTCGCGTTGGCGCCGCTTCGGGAAGATTGCACCACATGCAATGTGTGAGCCCAAAAATCAGCGCCAAATATCATAGAAAAATGTCCATCTTGCAGCTGACAGAAGCGAACATTCATCAACCCTGCCGGCCTTTTCCCGGCTGGAAAAGCATCTAGCTGAACAAATTGTGGGAGATTCAGTTTATTCCAAGATGATTGTAGTCGGATGGAACCTTGCAATTGAAGAACACAGAACATCTTCTTCCAAACGGCTTCGGACATTCAACTGATCATTCAAAGGAACCCTTTGCTGAAGCCTGTTTTGTTTGGTGGGGGCTTCCATGTGGGTCAGGTGGATCGATTTTCCCCGCCCCTGAACCTTCAAGGCCTGATGAAGCGTTACTGAGTTTGGAAGATGATCTGGGAGAGGCCTGGGCGGCCTGGGGATAAACCTCTGGGGAGGTATGGTGGATGTGGCACCTTTGAGTAGGGTAGGTTTTGCTGCTTGATGCCAGTGTGAAGTGTGCGTTTGTCACTGGATTGGTTCAGGGGAAAAAATGCGGTTGGGACCAGGGTTTTTACCTCCCAAGCTTTGGGGCTCCTGTATACGATAAACCAATTCCAGGAGTGTCTCATATTTTCATGTCCTGTTGGCAAAAATAACTTGTTTGCGTACCTAAGATATCTAGACTTGTAGCCATGGAGGTGACTTCCTTCGAAAACTCTTGTGTTTCTGTTTTACGACCCTGTGTGAACGATCAAAATGCTGGAAGATGTCCAAAGATCCCTTCGAAAAAGATCTAAAGTATTCTAAAGTATACATATATAGAAATACCCTACGAGGATAGACCAGATAGATTGAATTCAAATCCAAAGCTCCAACAAACACAGCCATACTTTTCAGCGGAATCTTCATCACACTTGATGATATAAAATAATGTTTCCACGATTTTAAGCATTTGTCTATCATTTTCCCATAATGTTCCATAGATGTCCCATGATTTTCCATAATTCCCCATGGATTTTCCATGGATTTCCATGGATTTTCCATGGATTTCCATGGATTTTCCAAGCTCGAGATCCAGGAATTGGAGGCTGTGGCCCTGGCGATGCAACCTGGAGAGGTCTCAGAAGTCCTTGGGACCGAGGCGAGAGTTCAGCTTGGACATTCAGGGCTATCTACTGGGAAAAGCATAGGGATATTATATAATACTTTATATGATATATATATATATATATCATATATATATATGATATATATCATATATATATATATATGATATATATCATATATCTTATATATATATATATCATCATCATCATCATCATCATCATCATCATCATATATATATATATATATCATATATATATATATCATATATATATATTTGGAATTTGTAAATGATTGAAAATCCACAAGGGTACCTCCTTGTCCAAGTCATGGTGACCATTTTGCAATTTTTAGTAAATTAAAACCCGTTGGTGACTTGGGGATCCCCCATTTTTTGAAAACTCTAGGATAATTATAAGATATATATATGTATATACATGTAATGTACGATATACAGTATATAATATACACTGCATATAATATTTGTATATAAGCATCCTGATGTAGATACCATATACTAGCTCGGTATATTTGTTTTTTTCTGTTGTACAGGATCGAAAGCCTAATGCACATACACAATTTATATAAAGTCGATAAGAATGTATCTATACATACTCCAATTTGCCCAACACTGCATATGGGATCAAACGTAATTAAGTTTCAGATCTTGTCAAAAGGGTGTTGTTCTTCCTGTTGACCTAAGATTCGCGACCATCCCATATATGTTTGTGCCCCTAACAAGGAGTCAAGATGTCACCTTCAAACACTTTTATTTATGAATATGCATAATTAGTTTGCTTTTTTCACATGTTCTTTTGAAGCACCCCCAAGCCGTGGCCAATGGGGTCGCTCACGGGTCGCTGAAAACCGCGGCTGTGAGGCTGGAATGCAGATCCTCCTGAGGGTTCGGTGATCACCGATCAGATTTCAAGACCAGCAAGGGATTTGTATTTCCAAAATGGAAAATTGACTGCATCAACAACTATATAGATGCATTGAATCAACAAGGGGAATCCATCAATGAGTTTGCCTTAAAATGGGCTCAATATTATTTGTAAAATTCCAATGAGGAAGGTGCAATAAATTCAAGACAATGTGGTTTCATATCATCAGTACATCTTGAGTATGGGTCAACATTGGGCACCTCCTGCCACCCAAGAAAATGGGATGATTTACTGCTTAAAACGCCAACATCCGATCATGGGTCAACCTTAGACCCATAGTCATTTGCCATAGACACCAGCCACAACATAACTTCTCAGCGCATATGACATCTCTCTGACACTGTTTCACCTTCTAGATCGTTGCGTGTTGCTTCGATGCGCGAAATCGAGTGCAAGAATTGGAGAGTTTGGTGCTGGGCCAGCAAATTTCAGGGGCGGGGCAGTGCCGGTGTGATAATTTGATGATTTCTGTCGCCATTCAAATCAAGCTATCATTCGTTTGTGTCTTACAGGGATGCGCTTCGACAGCGTCGGATTTCTCATGTTCAAAGCTTCATAGATATGTTCAACCGTGGTTCCTATTAAAGAAATAATAAGGTACCCTTGGGTTGTTATCATTTTTCATCGTTTTTTCCAATTGGAAGGGCCATTCCAAATTGGGGTATGGCAACCCCAAAAAGAGAGAAAGGTCAAATCCAATTCTATAAATGGTGGTGACTTACTTTTCTACACAGTATTTGTTTCGGAGGTCTATCTATATACTATCTATACCCCAAAGTTGGATGGCAAATGAGAAGATGACCACGATCTGCTGTACCACATGGAACCAAGTGGGAATGAATCAAAACCTCTGAAATTACCCATATGAGTGGGGGAATTTTAACATCCAGCTATACCAGCTAATTTAAGGTTACCATCCAGATATCCAGGTAGCAGGGGCCTTTGACCCGTAACCATCCTTGGTTTTTGAGTTGGTGTAGGAATGCTCCAGGGCTGACAAGTGACTACAACTTCAGCATCCAGCCTTGGCATGTCATACCGCCGCCATTCCCAAGCCCTCAAGACTTCTAGGGTTCCTTCCGGTAGCGCCACCATATTCATTTTAGGCAGGAAATGGGGCAACGGAAAGTGATGTTCCATTGTTTACTGCTTGTTTGTTCCAAACATTTCTGGGAAAAAAAACGATAAGGTTCGGGATGAAAGGAACTTCTTCCCAATCTTCCGAGCCTATTTTTTCAGGGTGGCTCGATCACCAAGCAGTCTTTTTTCATCAATCTGGATAAATTATAACGAAACTCTGTGATAGTCGGTAGTAAATAGGTAATAAGGGAAATCATCCCATAATTAGATTGTCATTGCCTTAATTTAGGTCAAGGGAATATAGGGGAATCATCCCATATGATGAAACCAGACCAACGATCAGTTGATGCTGTTGATATCCTACCACTTCGAAATCTTCGAACATCGCATCCAGCACCGCAGGCACCAGTGAGATGAATGCGCCGCATGGCCCAAAGACCTCCAGGAGGGTTGCACTGATGATATGTGGATATATGTGGCTAGGGATCAAAAACCTGGTTGAATCGTGTTTCATTGATTTTAATAGGGGTTACTGCGATATAGACGGATATAATGTGATACCATTGGATATAAATGGATGTGATGGGATATACATGGATATAATGGGATATAGCATCCCCACATGAAGTTGACAAGTAGTCTTCCATGTCCAGAATTTGTGAGGGTCGATGTTTTGGGGAATGGTCCAGATTTTTAGGGGGCTGAGTCATCCATTTGGCAGAATGATTTTACCATCTGGTTATTTGTTACATAGCCATGGAAAATCAGCATTTTTAATAGGTAAACCATCTATAAATGGGCCATTTCGCATGGGTATGTTAAACAACCATAGTGTAATGATTTTATGTGTCAGTGTTCGCCAGGGTACCAAGCTTTGAAGGGTTTTGACCCATACCGAACGTGCGTTCGGTGCTTTGAGATACCTGGATTTGCGGCTTCGGTGAGTGATTTCTTCAAGGCACCCTTGAAGCAGATACCGGGTCCGCTGAACATCTACCCTCTGGTAATTTGTTACATAGCTATGGAAAATGGCCATTTATAGTTGATCTACCTATTCAAGATTGTGATTTCCCATAGCAATGTTAAATTACCAGAGGGTAATCATAATCTTACCGCTTCAGTGCAAAAAGAAAAAGCACAGACAGCATCTCCGCTCCTGCGGCGTGCAGGACACTGCTAATTGCTGGTGTGGCGGTGTCAAGTGTTGGAAACTCAGGGCCCCGCGGTAGGAGCAAAGATTTGCGGTACATGAACAGTGCTGAGCAACGGATTTGTCCAGTAAATGGGTCATCATGATGATGCATCGAAATCTAAATGACTATCTGTTGAGACTTCGGGGTATCATTTTCCTTTGCATAGGCAAAGCCACAAATTCCGGAGAATCCCAGATACCCCATGTGTAAGGATTTGGCTGTGGCTGTTCTAAGTGTCGATTGTGCGGCCTACAGGCCTATAGATGACCATGGCAAGAGTGTACTGAGTTTAAACTCGAGGATAACCAGGTCGCTTCGAATGATGTGGTATCTGTTTTACAATATATTATATCATATGTAACAGTTATATAACATAATGTTTTATGTTTATATGAAGTACATATGTATTTAGACATACTGTAAATGAATACATAGCGTGAAACATTCAGTAAATCATATTTTATTATAATATATATATATATATATATATGTATTATATATATATATATAAAGTATACATATATATATAATTATCTAAATATATATATATATATAATATACACACACACATTAAAGGCATATCTCTTCACCACGATTCGTTGCCAACGAATCTCACCGGCGCTAGGTTTCACTGCAAGGCTGTTCTGTGGAAGTGCCCAGGCCACTTGGGCCCCAAACGACTGGCTTTTCCACGATGGGGCCCCAGTTTGTTATATAGCTAACAAAAATAGTGTATGATCGAAGGAAGTTTAGAAGTGAAACTTCCGACAATATGGACAGTTGAAAAGCAGAGGTGAGAAGAGTCAGAAGAGACAAGATCAGAAGAAAGAAGATGCAGATGCGCGAAAAGGTAGGAAAGTCGTGAAACACTGTGTTTTTCCAATGATTTGTGGCTCCGGTGGGTCGAAAAGTAGGCTCGCTAAAGCGGCGGGTGCGGAGCCAGCTGGCCAGATGAGAGATGAAAAGTTGCACGCCGTTGTGGCGCGAAGCACATTTCCAAGTCAAAATGTGCAAAACACCTCAGTGTCGGACCGCTTTTGGAAGTTGAGATGTCGAAAAAGTGCACGCCGTTGTGGCGCGAAGCACATTTCCAAGTCAAAATGTACAAAACACCTCAGTGTCGGACCACTTTTGGAAGTTGAGATGTCCAAAAAATGCACGCCGTTGTGGCGCGAAGCACATTTCCAAGTCAAAATGTACAAAGCACACCATTCTCGGACGACTTTTGGAAGTTGAGATGTCGAAAAAGTGCACGCCGTTGTGGCGCGAAGCACATTTCCAAGTCAAAAGTGTTAAAAACTGACGGTCTCGGACCACTTTTGGAGGTTCAGATGTCGAAAAAGTGTCGAAAAAAGTGCACGCCGTTGTGGCGCGAAGCACATTTCGAAGTCAAAAGTGTAAAAAACTGAGGGTTTTGAGCCTTTTTGACGTGAAGATGTCGAAAAAGTAGACACTGATTAACTTAACTAACTTGACTAACTTAACTAACTTCACTAACTTAACTACCCTAACTTCGACGACAACAGCAACAACAACAACAACAACAACACCAACACCAACACCAACACCACCACCACCACCACCAACAACAACAACAACTACTACTACTACTACTACTACTACAACTACAACTACAACAACTACAACTACAACTACAACTACAACAACTACACAACAACTACAACTACAACTAGAACTACAACAGCTACAACAACAACAACAGCAGCAACAACAACAACAGCAACAACAACAACAACAACTACAACTACAACTAGAACTACAACTACAACTACAACTACACAACAACTACAACTAGAACTACAACTACAACAACTACAACAACTACAGCTACAACAACAACAACTACTACTACTACTACAACAACAACTACAACTAGAACTACAACTACAACTAGAACTACAACTACAACTACAACTACACAACAACTACAACTAGAACTACAACTACAACAACTACAACAACTACAGCTACAACAACAACAACAACTACTACTACTACAACAACAACTACAACTAGAACTACAACTACAACAACTACAACAACAACCACACAACAACTACAACTACAACAACTACAACTACAACTACAAAACAACTACAGCTACAACTATATGACTGCAACTACACTACACTAGTTACAATACACCACAACTACAACTCCACTACGCTACAACTACAACTACAGTTGCAGTACATCACGCTACATCCAGCAGTTGTGGGTGAGGTGACCACTGCAACCATTGCAACCATTCCAGCAAACACAACTCCAACCACCTTTCGGTCAATCAGTGGCTTCGCTCTGCCATCCCTGATTCACAACAACCAACTTCTCCTATAGGTTTCCTATTTTTGAAACTTCCGCCACCGCCTTGTGCGGTACTACTGGTACTTATGAAACAGTAGTGTATAATAACTATAAAAACTATTGATTCATAACAAGTTGGTGTATGATACGCAAAAGACATCAAATGACGATATTTAGATGGGGTTATAAACCAACTTATATCACTGGGCGGCCCCATCCTGCATCTAACTGTTGGTTTACGGGAGGGTTTCTTGGTGGGCCCCATAAATCGCGAAATCGCGACTTGTTGGTATCGAACAGTGTCGGTGACATGGGTGACAACTTATCAAGGCTGGTTATGGCTGGTTGGAGTGCCAGTGTCCAGGATTCCGCTCTTGTTGATTAAGTTAGGGTCCCAAAATGTTGACAGTTGATAGTGTCATTAAATTTGAGTTAAAACGGGTAACCTTCCCCCTCTAAATATGAATCAAACTGAATTTTGTTGTATAATTTGGGTTCGCATTATTCCGCTTCCCCTGTTTTCCTTGTTCCCAATGCGACGTGGACCACTTTCCGTCGCCACGAGGCATATGATTGGCTATTGGCAAACTCAAGAGAGCTACTTGGAGACCTACAAGGCCTCAAGAAGTTGGCTGTTACTTTCAGATACACATCTCAAGGGTGAGCCATCTTTCAGATACCTCTCTACCTTGATAGCTTAAGCACTAGGACCACTAAAATAGGGCACATGATTTAACAATATTTAACCACCATTGTGCGATTCGCACACCTCCCATTAATGGGAGCGACAAGTTGGATCGCCACAGTGGGGTCGAAGAATCAGGGAAAAGCCGTAGAAAAGCCCAAAATGCAATGGTTTTAATCATACTCTTCCCATGTTTTCCCATGTTTTTTCCTGAAGATAGCAAATTTGAATCTTGTTGAGATAAGCCACATTCCGGGCATAGTATACATATGTATACAGTACTGTATACATTGTACATGTATTAAAGGTTTTGTTTGAAAATAACCCTAAATCTTGATGGTTGATCATCATGTTCCATGCCTAGATTCTGGCGATTGCTGGCGACGAGAACTGGAGAACTGTGACACCAGAAATGGAATGCACTGGAAGATGTTCTATACTTTTAGTGTATGCATATGTTATATACATCATACCATATTGTATATATATTGTGTATATATATAATGTATATATTATAATATATATATATACATATTCATGTAGGATTGCAAAGTGTAGTAGTCTTCGTGAACAGGGCGAAGTCTCCAGGCAGATCTTCCGGGACCGGGACCTTCGGCGCTGAATCCTTGTAGTGTTGTGCGGGCTCCCGGCGTCCCCACCTGGATCCGTTGCGGATCTTCCAACCTGGGTGTGGAAAATTCAGCTCACTTCAATAGCAATCTTCAGTGGGAACTATATGGGAAAATCATGGGATATATGGGATATACCACTTTAAGCCACTTTAAAGTGATCGATCATGGGATATGAATGGGATGCACCCTCTGGTAAATTAACAGTTGGACCCTGAAAATCACCAATTTTTAATGGAAACTAATATGAACCAACCCCGATGACTGTCAGGGTCCAACTGTTAGTTTACTGGAGGGTACATGGGAAAATCGCGATGAACTATGGATAAGCAATTAATTATGGGGCATTCCATTTCAGACAAGGCCATAGCGGGTTCAATCGTTTTGAGCCAGACTTCTGGATTAGCATTTTAGGTCTCAGAACCACAGCGGCGTTCCCAAAGGGACTTAACCGCACATGGAGCAAATCAAAGGAAGCATTGGAAGCATGCTGGAAAATCCCTTGGTTCAATGATTCCCTTTTTTCATTTTTGGATTTCCGAGCCATTTTTGACCTCAGTGAACCGACTTCGCCTGGTGTTGGCACGTGTTGGCACCCCATGGCCCTCTCAGGAGAGTCCTAGATATCTTCAGTGCGGTGGACATGGCGAATGTGCTCACCTCAGCCAGATGGTTCCGTTACACCTCATTCCGTAAGTCTTCACAGGGCCGGAAACGCACGGCAATATGTTGATGTTGAAATGCTTCGAAGTTGTGATGCTGGTTGGTGGTGACTGGAACATGAATTTTATTTTTTCCATTCAGTTGGGAATGTCATCATCCCAACTGACTCATTTTTCAGAGGGTAGGTCAACCACCAACCATCATGGATCCCGGATCGAGGTCGACCATGGCTGGCAGATCCCAATGTGGACAACGCAACAGAGGCGACGTGACTTCTCCTGTCTCGCTGTTTGAATCAGTATACAGCGCCAAGGCTTAAGGACCTGATTTTGTACGGCCATTTTGTTTGGGAAATTCATGCAACAATGAGATGTTGACCCAGCAACTCTCTTTTGAAGTATTTGCTATTTTTCGGAGATTAGGTGCATTTTTTCAAGGGGCAAATACATGAAGGGTCGCAGGGACAATCATCCCCAACTTGTTTTAGGTTTGCCAAGCTGATGTTCCTATAGGTGCTTGAAGTAGTTGCTGGTATTGAGATGGAGAATCAGCAACCGATACTTGGGAGTGCAGTACCAGTGATAAGTGGAATTAGGACTTAAGATGAATTAAGTGGATATATATATATATATATATATTATATATATACACATATATAGCCATAGTTACAGTCCATACATTGCTTTTGGGATTGTATCACAATTTATGTTGGTTAGCACCGTTGTTATACCCTCAAACACCACCTCAACTGCATCCCCAAGGAACATTTGAATGTACATCCGTTGGTTTTTATTTTCGCGATATCCCTGTTTGAGCTGTTGCGTGTGATCTTTTTGTTGCATCCTTACCGCTGTTGTTTGCCCGCTTGGATTCGTTTGGAAGGCAAAACCTTGTGAATTGTGACGTTGGAATTCAAAACCTGTTTTCAACTCAGAGTATCCATGTATATGGAATCATATGGATACAGATTTGTTAAATAGATTTAGAAATTGAATCACAAGCCACAGGTATGTAAATGGGTTCCCCTGGTTGACGTTGATGGCGGGAACACGCAGGTAGCATCGGCATTGAAGTTCTGCCAATGCGAAGAGGTGCGCGACAAGCTACTCTTTTCTTTTAGTTGCTTTAAGTTGGATGATAATGATAACTATAATAGTCCCAAAGATAGAAGAAACATGAAGAAAACATATGTCCTAAGTATTGCTGTATATATATATATATACCTGGACCTTCATTCGAGCAAAAATAAGTGTTCAATCTGCTTCTCGTAGCACTCAAATGAAGGATCAAGCCGATCTAAATTTCTGCTCCAATGAAGCTACAGGTGTGTGTGTATATATATATATATATATATATCATATCAGTTACCCTCTGGTGAACTAACATCACTATGGAAAATCACCATGTTCAATTGGTAAATCCACTATAAATGGCCATTTTCAATAGCTATGTTAGTTTACCAGAGGGTATCAGTTTACAACTGGTGACTTTGTATATACATCAGTCTAGGTAAATTATAAAGATTTATAAGGACCTCACTGTCCTCCCGAACCCTGGAAGCATTTTTTTTAATAGGGAAATCATGCCCAAATGGCCCAATGGCCGAACTATTCAGGTTAGTGAAATATGATCATTTACCCAGATCAGTTTATTTTAGTGCTGAACTGTTTTTTCAAGTTTAAGTTGTTTGTTAATTCAAAAACATATATAGATTTGTACCCCAATAAGTAGATGGTTTATATATATATAATATTAATATATCCCACAGGTGGTTAATATTAAACTTATACTAAAACAGCAGGATTTTACGTGGATTGAACTAGCCAGGCCTGGGCCGATCCCAACTGTGAGACACCTCGGAAATCTCAGCAGCTTGCGCCAGAAGCTGAGATGTGTCCGGGTTAATCTCACGTCATTTCTCTAAAGATTGGAGACATATATATACATATACATAATATAATATTATATTATATTATTTGACACAAGTATGATTATAGTATATATAATATAATAACACAAAATATAATATAGTATTATTGTATTTAACATAATTATAATACATTATTATTATTGAACATAATGTGATATAATATGATATATTATGAAATAATATAATGACACATACTATAACATAAGATAACATAATATAATCCCTTCCTCCTATTACTAAACGTCCCCCAAATACTAAAAACTAGGGTCCATCTCTAATTTCGGAAAATTTCAGATTGGCCAATTTGACTTTTAATTGATCCCCTTTAGAAAACAATTTAAAAAAAAGCTACCATTTGTGGGTTTTGCCCCCTAATATTTAAAACTAGTTCGAACCGGGGTGTTTATTAATAGGGTCCGTCCGATTTTTTTTAGTTTTTACATTAGGCCTTTTAATTTCTTATTAGGGCCCGCTTCGAAAACCAATTTTTGGCAATATTTTAATTGCGTTATATAAGGTAATGTAATTGATTTTGACACCCGAAAAAAAAGTTTTTTATTATTAAGGGTTTTAATTTAATATTAGGGGGAAGCTTCGAAATCCAATTTTTGGCAATATTTTAATTGCGTTGTTATATAAGGAAATTTAATTGATTTTGAGATCGGAAAAAATCGTTTTAATTACGAATGTTTTATTTTTATTAATCGGGTCCGCTTCGAAATCCAATTTTTGGCAATATTTCAATTGCGTTTACAAGGAAATTTGATTGAGTTTGAAATCGGAAAAAAGATTAAGGGTTTAATTTTATTAATCGGGTCCGCTTCGAGATCCAATTTTTGGCATTTTTTTTATTGGGAAATTTAATTGATTTTGAGATCGGAGAAAATAGCTTTTATTATTAAGGGTTTAATGTTATTAATAGGGTTCCCTAATAATACATACCCCCCTAATACTAAAAACTACCTGATGTGTTTATTGTTTTGGGGGGGGGTTAGTATTAGGAGGAAGGGATTAATCTAATGTAATGATATATATATATGCCCCCTCTGAAATCTGTGTTGATTTATAAAACCTATTAACTATGGTATACCTGCTACCCTATAAATTGGGGATTGACCCTCCTGTAAACATTTCACCTTGAAATATGGAGATTTCCACAGGAATGGGAGCCGTGTTTCCTGGATGCGGACTTGAATCGGATTTTACATCAACCAATGAAAACGGTTTCCTGAAACAGATGCCCCAAATGATTGCATGTGTGTTTTTTTTCTTGAAAAAGATGAAGGTGTAAAGAATGAAAGGGTTGGGGTCGAACGCAATTTCAGGTTGGTTTCTTTGAGACCCTCAACGTCAAGGGCCCCCTCAGTTATGTTTTTTTTGTTTATAACCTCATCTAAATATAGCTATTTGCGTATCATACACTGTAGTTATTATGGTTATTTGCACCAACTTAGCTAACGAACTGGGGCCCCATCCTGTATATATAGAGATATCCATATTGGTGGTCTTCCTGCTGCCAATCTTATCATTGATTATCATTATTAACCACTATCATTGATCATTGATGATCTGTTGGTAGATGCTTTATCCCACATATATATACACCATCATTTCAGGAAACCTCCATATATAGTTATTTTATCCACATTCACTATAGTTATTATATCCACTATAGTTATCCACTCTATATTTTTTAGTTATAGTTATTTGAACAAGTTAGTTGATAATACAACTATAGTGGATATATATATATTTAGATTTAGTGGATATATAACTTTATAATATAATATAACTATTATATATCCACTATAATTCTTTGACAACTTGCAAGTCGCTCACTGGATTTTCTGAGGTTTCTGATCTCCATGTTTGGCGGATTCTTCGGTCCGGCATCTCAAGCATCGGTTTGGCGATGGGGCCGGCTCGGGGATTTTATTTTCATGATGTTACATGTACATGTATATCAAATATATAATATAATATATATATAACAAATATGTTTATTATATATATACATTGTATATATTATATGATTTACATTTTATATATGATATAAATAACATATATATATATATATTTATTATGTATAATAAGATATAACCATATACATGTTACATAAATAAATATATATATATGTTCTATATATTGTGTAAATATAATGTAGTATTTAATAAATAAAATTTATATAGTATAAACTATTTAAAATATATCATAAATATATAATACAATCAATGATTTGTACATATATATAGGAATATATATACTAAATATTCTTTTTACAATATATACAATATATATATGTATATATGTTATAGACTGTCAATGGTATATAATAAATATACGATTGATACTCTATTTAATGCATATACAATATATTATATATTTTGTATATCTATATATTATATAATGTATATAATATATCCAATATGTACAATATGTGTAATATATATATAATATAGATATTAATATATATATATATATATTTGATTTATATATATTTGATATATATATGTGATATATATATAATATATATATATATATTTCATATTATTATATAATATCATATATATAATTTTATCTTCATCCAATTAACATTATGTATATATAAGATATATATATATACAAAATATATGTCATAAACATTATATTTATATATGACATGTTTTATATATTATATATATGATATATGATAAAAATTACATAACATTGATGATTTAATATATATATATTATATTATTTATATTATATATAATATATTTAATATAAAATATATAATATATGATATATAATATAAAGTATTTATAATATGTATAATTTAATATATATATAATATATAATATATATAATATATAATATATATAATATATTTAATAAATTGTATATAATATAAAGTATTTATAATATGTACAATTTATAATATATATATATATAATATATATATATATTTATATAATCTATATAAAATAAAATATGTATATGGTCAGTGCCGGAATTATAGAACGGAAGTTGAGGAGGACGAAGGTACGGTTATTTACCGTACCCTGTTGTTCTATAATTCTGTTTTCCCCCATTTTTCTCACATTTCCCATTTTCGTTCTATAATTAATTTTCCCCGGGCCCCGTTCTATAATTAATTTTTCCGTCGGACGGAAAAATTAATTATAGAACGGAAAAATTAATTATAGAATTATAGAACCTCTTCCGGGGTCCCAGAAATCCTATAAAATCACCATGAAATCTAAGAAAATCACCGTGAAATCCCATAAAATTACCATGAAATCCCATAGAATCACCATGAAATCTTATAAAATCACCATGAAATCTAAGAAAATCACCTGGTAAATGTGGGAAAATGGGGGAAAACAGAATTATAGAACGGAAGTTGAGGAGTACGAAGGTACGGTTATTTACCGTACCCTGTTGTTCTATAATTCTGTTTTCCTCGGAAGGTAGAAAAAAAACGTATCTGAATTTACTCCTAATTTTTTTCGTCGTTCTATAATTCTTGTCGGAGCGCTGTTGTTCTATAATTCTGTTTTCCCCCATTTTTCCCACATTTCCCATTATCCTCATGTTATCCTCATTTTATCCTCGTTATCTCATCAAATCCTCATTTTATCATCATTTTATCTTCATTTCCTTATCAAATCCTCATTAAATCCTCATTAAATCTGCATTTTATCCTCATTTCCTCATCAAATCCCCATTGGATCCTCATTTTATCCGCGCTTTATTATCATTTCCTCATAAAATCCTCATTTTATCTTCATTTTATCTTCATTTTATCCTCATTTTCTCATCAAATCCTCATTAAATCCTGATTAAATCCTCATTTTATGTTCATTTTATCTTTATTTTATCATCATTTCCTCATCAAATCCTCATTTTATCTTCATTTTATCCTCATTTCCTCATCAAATCTTAATTTTATCTGCATTTTATCTTCATTTCCTCATCAAATCCTCATTAAATCCTCATTAAATCTTCATTTTATAGATTGTATATGTACAAATATGCAGTAAATATCATGTCAGTGCCAGAAATTATAGAACGGAGCCAGGAGGACAAAAGTACGGTAAAATACCGTACCTTTGTCCTCCTCCCCGTTCTATAATTAAATTTCCCGACTCCGCTCCGAATCGGAACCCGGAGGAGGACAAAGGTACGGTATTTTACCGTACTTTTGTCCTCCTGGCTCCGGTCTATAACTCTGGCACTGACTGTATGTTATAAATTATATATATATATTTTTATAATATATAAATATATATATATATAATATTTTAAATATTTTATAGATTATACATTACATATAATTTAATATTTATAATACATATTATATATATAATACATTTAATTTATATAATATACATATAATATAATATATATATTTATATATTTAATATATATAATATAAATAATATATTTAAAACACATAATATATAAATATAATATTTAACATAATATATATATATAAAATATAATATGTATAATATATATATAATAGATAATATGTAATATATTTATAATATATATAATTTATATAATATATATCATGTATAAAATATATATATATATATATAATATATATATATATCAAATATATAATATATAATATTTAAAAATATATATATATATTTGATATATAATATAATATTATATATATATTTAATATATAATAAATATAATATAATATATATATATATATATATAATATATATTATTTAATATACAATACATTTAATTCCCAATATTTTTGGCATACAATATTTTTTTAAAACAAAATAATATACACAATCTATATATATATATATATATATATATATTTATTATATTATTTTATTAAGATAACATACCTAATATACATGTATATAGTGCCTCCTCCTTTCACACATACTGGGATCTCTTTACAGTTACCAGGTACTATGACAGCCGAAATCGCACAGACCCATTTTGGGTTAGACCGCTGCTGACCCGCATTCGAGCCCTGGAGACAGCCTTGGTTCATGGACGTCCACTACAACTGCCTCCAGTTGCCCCACCACTCGCTTCCTGGCAGACTTTGGTCACCTCTTGAGAGTGTCCGTGAACAAGGAGTCGGTCATGAATTCCGAACGGGATCTGTCATGGGGACTTGCCAACCAAGAAAGGAGATTTAATGGGATATTCATAGGCATATTAATAGATTAATTGGGATATTAATAGGGATACAGTATATAGTTCACCAGCTTCATGTTCTATCCGGGTTTATTTGAAAATTACTGCCCCCCGTAACATCCAGTGGTTTAAAAACTAATTTTCCCTCCTGTTAAAATTGCCATGACTAAAGTGGGGTCAATCTCCTATTTTCAGACACATCCATTCATATTCCATATTGTGTTAACATCCATTATAACCCATTGTATACCATGAGAATACATTATAGCTTGGTTAGATATACAATTGATATTCATGATATCCATATTTATATCCCATTATATCCCATATTTGTAGCCAATCTTCCCAATATGGGATACAAATATCCCAGAAATTATATAAATTATGGCCAATCTTCCCAATATGGGATATAAATATCCCAGAAATTATATAAATTATGGCCAATCTTCCCAATATGGGATATAAATATCCCAGAAATTATAGCCAATCTTCCCCATATGGGATATAAATATCTCATGAATTATAGTCGATCTTCCCAATTTTTTGGGATCGTTCAACGCCATTCAACCTCGATGACCTGAGGATTGGACCAGCTGTATCTGGGATTCTTCTTTCCCTACGGCCTCTTCAAGGCTGGAGAGACAAAATACGTGTAGCTAGACCTTCAAAATATGATTGCATATATAATTATATATATATATATTTAATACACATTATATTCTATGCTATATTTTATGTTTTGTTATTTTACTCTATTTTACTATATATTTACATCTATCTATCTATATATATACAAATTAGAATGTTGCATTTTGCCGAACACGCAGTTAAGATTATTGACATGTATATCCACGGAAACCCTGTACTTCGAGTCATGAGTGAATCTTGGCTGCACATCACCTTTGTCCTGGTTTAGTGTCCTTGTGATTGTCGCGTCGACATACAATTATTATTGTTCAATTCATGTTGACAGAAGCTACATTTTGATACATTTTGTACATTTATTGTGATATATATATATATATATATGTATGTATGTAGTTATTGTGTGTTTTTGCCCAACCCAACTCCTGCAACAATCCTTTTTTCAAAACCCACCTGTTACCTGCTGGAGTACAAGCTTGAAATCACTGAGTAACTACTGGCATGTGCATCCTACGGATTCTGGTCGGTGAGTATCTTACAGACTTATTTGTGTTTTTTGTACAACTTGGTCAGTTCACTTTGTAGTTTGACAAATTCCTCGTTCTTAGTCCGAACTGTACATAGGAACTTAGTAACATCGTAACATCTAAATGTATAACATACCACTACGGTTCTACAATAATGTACCTTGTGGTTGTACAATATTCCATCATTCGATATTATTTGTATATTGTATATATATATACACTCATTTTTTGTATTTTGTGGGTATAACGTACCACCCATTATTTGTATCACCCACTATTGTCGTATCACCCCATTTTCTTTGATGCAACCAGCCCTCCGTGCCAGTTGCTGACCCTGGGTGGCCTTGGCGTTTGGTGGGTCTACGATTTAGTGCGAGACCTCAGAAGCTAATCTTCCTGAAGACCCACAACGAATGAAGAGATCTACCAAATTATTTATACAGAATTCGCAAATACTGAGCAAATAACAAAAATATCTTATGTGCTAAATCTCTACAGAATAAACAACTCATTATTTTCTACGAATAAGAAGTATGCATTGCATTTATGAAGAAATCTACTACATGGGGATGGTTTATAGACGTTTATCGACTTCAGGAGAGTAATACTACAGTAAACCTCAGATGAAAACAACATACAATATCTGGTTGGTGGTTTGGAACATTTTTTGTTGGGATGATGATCCAATCTGACTTTCATATTTTTCAGGGGGGTTAAAACCACCAATTAGACATAGTAAACCCAATGATAAGCCTACCATTCGGGGATGGTTGGAAGTTGGAAATGCACAGACAAAGCTATGCTGATGACTTCGGGATGGTAAACATGACATTGGGTGAATCCCGCATTGCTCGACGGCTGGCAGGGGGAGTCTATCCTGTTGTCGAAAATTAACGTGGTTCTTAGTTTCAAGGTTCGCTTGCACTCGTTCATGCTCCGATGAAACACAAACCGAGAAAGCTTTGAACTAGGTAAGTTTCAACGCAATGGTATGATATTGTACACCACAACCGGCACGCCCAAAACCTGGCATTTAATGCGAGTGCACTGAATGTGGGTATCCCTCAAATTAAGCACATCCCAAAATGCATGAGTTCTCCAGAAATGTTTCTTTCGGACAATTGAGAACCCTTATTAGTTGATGATTCTAGGGGTTATACTACCCAAATCCACTCGATATATTGGAGACGGTCATAATCCATGAAATTGGAATCCTGTTCTAAACCAACCAGTACAAGGGGATGACACAAAATTTCCGTCTTACCCCTGCAAACTGACACGAATGTGCCCATCTCCCATGTATTGTTGTGGTTAGTTATATCCTTTTGTATCAACCTATACAACGCAAGCGTTTGACAACCCCATGTTTGAGGACAAACCATGGGGGACTGCGTATGTTTTAAGGATATTTTGACTTTTGGTGTCGAAACCATACAGAAATCTCTTTATATTTGGACTATAATACATTTGGTTCAACCCCTGTTTAGTATTGTTTAGTTTTTTTTTTGCTGAGTTTATTACTAAATGTTTGCCATAACATGCCATAACTAGTGTAGAACAACATTTGTTTTTAGCACAACAACGGTTCTTCGCCATCACTGGGGTTTTTCTAAATCCATCCCCGTTGTTCTCCATGGATTTTCTGCTCGACCGGCTCGATGAATCCAATGTCCCCAATATTGACTTAGCATGGCTTACCCTCTGGTAATTTAACATAGCTATTGAAAATGGCCATTTATAGTAGATTTACCCATTAAAAATGGTGATTTTCCATAGTTATGTAAACGTTTATCAGAGGGTAAGTCAATATTTGCTCATGATTTTGGGGGACGCACCATTTCCCATATGCAACCCATGGTGCTGGTATATTTACCTACAGTTGGGTGATTTTGGTGGTAAATGTTGGTAAATATACCATGGGAGCATCTGGGGAAAAAAAGGCAAACATATAGATCTATGAAGCTTTGTAAATCAAAGATGGCACTGGAAAATCATGGAGTCTCATGGATTTTGCCAGCGATTTGAAGGCCGTGTGTGATGAAACCGCAGGATTAATTATCATTAACCCCCCTATCTGCAGATGATGTTCCCGTGATAGTTTCCCATGAAAAAATCCTATTGACCCACTATTTACTGATGGAAACGTGATTTACTGTTGAAAAGAGTGGGTCAATAATTAGATGCTGGGAAATGTTTGACAGTTTGACCAATAGTTTGGAAACATTTGCTGATTGACCCTACTATTACATACTATTACGGGATGGAAAAGATCTTGGTTCGTTGATTTGTTTTCATCCCATAAACTGCTGTCGTTGATTTGTTTTCATCCCATAAACTGCTGGTTTTCACAAAGGGATGACTCTCCACTTTGACTCCTATTGGGATCGAAGAAAAACCCGAAAGCTTCAGAATTGCTGTCCGTATCTCATCTGATCTCCGGAAAAAAAAACACATGAGTTTCAATGATGGGGATACAACTATGATTTATATAGAATATATATATATATGTATATATATATGTATGGATAGATATAATACAACATATATATATATATATATATACAATATATTGTAATATTGAAACTGTTTCAACATGTTTCAACCAGCGTTTTTTGAGCTAAGCCATCCGCTCACCCGTCTCGACATTAGGTTCGCATCGGCTCCAGCCCCGTGGGCACAGCTGCCAGCTTCAAGGCCGCAAAAGATTGGAAGGGTCGAAGAAACACGGCTATTTTAGTGTGATTTTATAAACTTCCATGTTCAATAGGTACATCATCTATTTCTATGGGTCATTTTCCATAGCTAGTGAATTACCCTCTGGTAAACGTTTACATAACTATGGAAAATCACCATTTTCAACGGGTAAATCTACTATAAATGGGCCATTTTCAATAGCTATGTGGCTGTTTACCAGAGGGTATTGTATATCGTAACTGGTTGGTGGTTTCAAACATGATTTTTATTGTCCATACCATATGGGACAATCCTTCCCACTGACTCATATCTTTCAAGATGGTTAAAACCACCAACCAGTTATGAAACGTGATCAACGTGACCGCCACAGGTGATGAACAACGTGCCTCATTGGGCCTTTGTCAAGCTGCCATGGTTGTAATGACATATGGGGAAATGTTATGTATAATATTTTATATACAATATATAATACATGATATATATATAATACATCATAAATATATAATACATATATATATATATAGAATACATCATATATATATATAATACATTTATATATATAATACATCATATATATATATATGTAATATTATATATTAATATATTATATTATATTATATTATATTATACTATATTTTAGTGAATTATATTTTATTATTACATTATATTACATTATATTATATTATATTATATTTTATATATTATATAATATATATTATATTATATATATTTTGTATTATGTTTTTTATCCATTTCTTTAGATGTTTAGGTAACTAGAAGGTTTAGGATGTTTCGGGCATCTATTTGCATTTTACATATTATCAGATACCCTAACCATACCAATATGGTAGATAGATATTATAGTTTTACATCTTTTACATGCTTAGCTAGTCTCTATATTTACATCTATTCTCTCATGATTTTCCCATGATCCATGGTTGTTCTATGTTTTTTTTTTATATTTCCATAGTTTTTCCCACGGCTTTCTCCATGATTTTTTCTCATTTTTCCCATGGTCTTCCCATAGTTCGCTGTTGATTTCCGCAGCCAGGTGCTTTCTGCCACCGCCCTCTTCGTGGCGTTGGCCTTTGTCTACAGCGTGACTGCGATGAACGGTGCTGGAAAAGCTCGTTATAGTTATCCCAAGTGATCTGCAGTTGTAACTAGCATCAACTATAGCTTGGGATTACAGTTGTGTCCTTTTTGTTTTTGGGGAATATAGATGATTATAGTGGTTTCAAGCATGACATGGTGAACTAACTGATCATGATGACTAATGAATTTGTTGGGACTTATATTAGCCAATTTATTGGGGATTATGATAACCCATAGAAACGGGAAACTTATCAACCAACTAGTATTTCATGAGATGGGATAGTGGTATTTTTGATGGCTCAACTGGGTCAAGCAAGATCAAGAGGTTGTTAACTTAATCATCATCCCACTGTAGTTGATGGTAGTTATAATTGAGTTATAGTTCATTGGGAGTATGATTATTTTCGTCACCTTTGATATATCTATATTATATTAGTGCCATTTGATATTGGGTATTTGGATTTGACCCATAGACATGGTGGTTGTTCATGGGATATTGATGGGGATACAATGGAAATGAAACCAACTGCAATCAGAAAGTTGGATTGTATACCCAGTGGCGCATGGGATTCCTATCAATCCATTTCCATTTCGGGATTTGCATGAAGCCATTAAATGTTTGGATTCCCATCTACAGGTATCAATATCATTATAAATATGAATTAGCACGCTAAATTATAGTGATTTAAGTTTTTTTTTAAATGATGATATGATATATGCGATTTTTACAAACGGTTTTTCTCCTGGAAATTTGCACTTCGGGGGAGTGTCTTCGAATCAAGGCTAATCATAGATACTGACCCCAAACACAATCAGGTGCTGGGCCCATTTTCCCACCTATTTTGGGAAATCTCATTCTCATGATGGATCAGTTTTATACACGTTCTCACCCTGAAAAAATGGGGCTGTATACCAACCTTTTCAGAATCGATTCTTCTCCTTGGGGTGGGGGCAGAATCTAAGATTTTTCTATGTGGCACCAACTTATATCAACCCCCAAAAAATGAATAAAAATGGAACATCCCAACTTTAGCACTAAAAGATCAGACTTGGTTTTGACGTGTCCTGGCTATTGGGGGGCCGCCTTAGGCGGCCCCATAAGGCGGCCCCGCTGCGAGCTCCGCTCCGCTAAGGCCTGGTCGATCCAACGGCACCGAGTGCAGAAGCAGCGCGAGGTGAGGATTGGGACAATTGCCCTTTGGCTATTTGTTACATAGCCATGGGAAATAGCCCATAGAAATAGAGGTTTTAAGATGATTACCCTCTTGTTGGGGTTTTAAGATGATTACCCTCTGGTAAACATACAAAAAACTATGGAAAGATCCACCATGCTATTAATGGGTAAATCCACTATTTCAATGGGCTATTTTCAATATAGCTATGTAATCGTTTACCAGAGGGTATCCCCAAATGTGTTTCTATGTACCCTCTGGTTATTTAACATAGCCATGGGAAATAGCCCATTTATAGAGGTTTACCTATTAAATATGGTGATTTTCCATGGCTATGTTAGATAACCAGATGGTATCCCCAGCCATGGTCGAACTCATCGGGTTTAGGATATATTTTAACAGCAGTTTGTAGCAGATTACTATTATTGGTTTTACCAACAAAACTCAGCAAGTGTCAAAACTTGGGTTCGCGCGCGGATTTCTCCACCCCAAATTCGCGCGCGAACCTAAACATAATTTAAATTAAACATGTTTTTGCAAGGTAACCCACTGAGTAAGTGTGGATGATGATTGGAACAACTATGGTATGATTGGACAAATATACGGGACGATGATTACCGATATCGGAAAAATGGCTGGCAGCCGGGGAACCCGATTTTGAGACAGACCGCCACACGGAAGGTCACGGAAGGTCACGGCAGGGGATGATTTGGCTATGGCTTTTAAGAATGTCACACATTGATAAATCATGGCTGGTCATATCATCGTAGAGGTTATGACAGAGTTTTTTAATACCTGATTGGTGGTTTGAACCATTTGTTATTTTTCCATATATTGGGAGACTACTATTTTTCAGAGGGGTTGAAACCACCAACCAGATACTTTTGTTTTTGAAGCAATGTTGGACTCAGCATTCCATGAGCTGGGAATCCTTTTTTCAGCAGCCACTTATTGGAATTGTACCCGGCATTGGAGGTTTAGCAATCGTAGCACCCGCCAAAGACCTGGGATGGCTGAGACAGCGATTCTTTATTTTCCCGATGGGAAGTCCATCAGACATGGGGTAAGTACCAGGAATATGTGTTATTTTCTTCAGGGACCCTCTGCAAATCTAGACATACCTAGCACTTGAATTGAATTAGCATACAGCAGACACAAATATGATCAAATATGGATGTGGATGATGTATCTTGATGTATGGTGAATAAGCAGCGGAGGGAGCTTAGTAAGTGGTAGAATGCCATCTTTTTGATCGAAAAGCCATGCCCCAAGTCTTACAGACGAAAAAGGAGGATAGAAAAGAACACTTTTGTTGCATATTAAGACCAGCCAAATAGCATACATACTAATATACGTACTAAACGTTGCGAAACGAGATTTGGATCCCGGATGGATTTGTTGAAGATGGGGTGCAAAAAGCCATATCTAGTTTCTAGGCTTGCAACTTGTTTTATCATTTTTTATCTATGTTCTTGTGCTTCTGCAGCTACAACTGGAAGAGTTCACCCCTCGGCAACTTTCAAATCTTTCAATGGGGATGAAGCTGTTATTTTATCTTCTGTGAGGTCATGGCCAGAACCTCTTTGAAACTAATCAGCCAATTTTCTGAGGCTTTTATATATATATATATGTAATTGCTGCAAACAAATCATCAACTGCCCAGAACCAAAACCAAAACCCGCAATTCATAAATCCTTCAAATGGCTGTGTCTATAAATGGCAAAACCCTATTCCATCCATTTGTTCATCATCATTTTCCCTGTCAAATAGCCAACTATACCCCATTACCCTTTACAAATAACTTTTTGCATAGGGTATGCCCGGTAGACGCCCGCAGGTGATGATGTTACAAGCAGAGGGTGTCGCCATAGACTCGTGCCTAGTTGGCCATTCGATGTTTGTTTGTCAATGGTGGATAGCCCAGAAAAATAATCATCATATAATACTATATGATCATGGTAAAAAAAAAAAAACTATTATTACCATATGACGACTCAATGATGATTATAACCATGATAGGATCTGATAGACCCTAAAAAATAATGGTAATAATGATAACAACCATGGTAATATATGAATCTGGTTAGCATCATATCTGATAATGGGGAGATGAATGTAAAATTGCCATGTTCATCGGGCTGCTGGTTGGCATGAGCTTCCGGCTGGACCTACATCTTTCAGCCACGAGGAGCTCAGCACGTTCCTACCAACCCTTTCAAGATAAGGGACATGACAATTAGGTTTTATAGGGCGATTCCCTGATGTTTTTTTGAGATAAAGCGAAAGCAACAAAAAACACGCAGAATTTCAGGGAGAAGCCCAGGTATTCAAGTCAAATCTGGTCAGGAATGGGTTCCCCCCCTCAGAATTTCATTGTGTTTCAGTGTTTCTTCCTGAAGGCAGGCCTTCCAATGACCATCTCAACATTCAAAAAGCCACCAGTTGGCTCTCACTGGACCACATCATTGGAGATTTCACAACATCTGCTTTCTTAGTTCACACATTTGCTTGAAATGAAGTTGGGGTAATACCGGTATACCCCCAAAACGGCCAAGTTTCATAGGGAAAATATGGAAAAATCATCTGATAGTCATGATAGTCCTTTGAAAAAACATTTCATAGGGAAGATCATGATAGAAACACATCCCAGACTCTCAAAAGTTCAAGCAGCTGAGGCAGCGACGCTTTTCTGGCCGGGGCAACTCAGTTCTGGCCCGTGCCAATATCTAAGATATTTAAGAGCCTGAAAAGCACCAGATGTTGGTTAGGTTTGGAGAAGAAACCATACCAGTATCTTATTTTCGGATACTGTACACACGGCTTTCAGTGGCCAAGTTTGTACGTTTTTGGATCTCCGTGTTGTCACAAGTTTGAAACAAAATGAGCCTCTAGGATGCATCATTTTGAGTTCGTAAGATATGATTAATTAGGTGATAGATGTCAAAAAACAACAAGCTTCTTGAAGTTGATCTCATCCAAGCGTCTCGTTGTTTTCCTAGTGAAACCCCCTTGATGCGAAGATGATAAGATGCGTCTATGATCTTTGGATGTGATGATTTGTTTGCAGAACTTTGCATTACCCTCTGGTAAATTAACATAGACCCTGGCAGTCATCGGGGTTGGTTCATACTAGTTTCCATTAAAAATTGGTGAATTTCCATTAAAACTGTGCATTAAAAGTTACAGAAGCAAGTGTTTACCCTCTGGTAATTTAACATAGCTATGGAAAATGGCCATAGAAATAGTGGATTTTCCTTTTAAAAACGGTGGATCTTTCCATAGTTTTTTGTATGTTTAGCAGAGGGTACATCCATCCATGGCTGTCATAGCTATCGAAATCGACCGGAAAAAAGGAGGTCAAGGATCGCTTTTGGATTCAACCAATTTTGGGTGACCAATAGGTGGCGAAAAAGCCCCGGTTGACTTTGGATATAAAATAGCTGGGGTCGCCAATCTACTTGGGGGTATATATATATAACTTAATTATACATATAACTATGTATATAATTATACATACATACAGTAATAATAACAATAAGAATAATAAAAATAAAAATAATAGAACAAAATAATAATAATACTAATAATAAATATACATATTCATATGATGCTATAAAATGTTATACAACCGCTAATAAGTGGTTAACCAACGTTACAGGGGCCACGCATAGCCCCCAACTTCGACTACCTGCAGGATATGGCTCCACACTGAGTTGAGCAGCGTGGCGCGGCCCTGCGTAGCTGTGGCATATTGGGATAGAACCAACATTTGATGGAGATATAGGAATATTATGGGGATATAAATGTATATATTATATATATATGATTATATATAGATATAATTGTATGTGATGGATTTTTTCAAACCAACAATGCGAAAAATGGGGTCTGTTAGTCATTCAGCTGCATTTCCCACAACAGATTGAATTGTCAGAAAGCAAGAGCATGATATGTTTGAGGTACCACCAGTCTCAAGCCGCTCCTGGCGCCGCTAAAACGCGCCGAGAAAAGATCCGTTGCTTGGTGCATCCCTGGCCAATGCCGGTCCTTTGATTCCCATCTGGCGGCAATGGTTTGAGATCATGATGCGGTTGAGATATCTACAACTGGATTTCCGGCAAAAAAAAAACAGACCATGACCAACTAGCTTGCTTCAATCGAACCAGAATAGGGGTTGAAATCGTTGCTGAAACAGGTTAAACACCATGAGACAGGTTATGGATACTGTGTAGATAAATTGCTTGAAACGGCGTGTGTCTAGTTAAAAAGTTGTGGCCCTTAACAGTTATAAATGGGACTATGATTTATTTTATCTCCTTTACTCAAGGTTACATATCATTATAAGCCAGTTGTAAGTAAGTTCTATAAGTGCAGGTAGAATGGTTTTGACATGTTTTCACATTTAGAATGTGAGATTCGGCGATGGTACGATGATGATTTCTTCGGATTTGGGCCTATCATTTGGCCCAAGAAAGCAGATGACATGAGAAGGGCTTAAGAAAAAACTCACCTGATATATGACATGGCCACATAGTTTTCATGTGGGCAACAACCTGGCCTCACAATAAGGTAGGAACCTTCATATAGTTGGACAGGACCCCATTAGTTTGATACACTCCGATACTCCAACAATTGAATCAGATCATGTCCCACCTCTGGAGAACTCAGCGCATGGCAGGCATCATACATTGATCAAACGCTGTCCATTGATGTTAGTTGCATCACATGGCCATCACCCAAGGAATCCCAAGACCATGGCAATGTTTTCTACTCCCCGCCCCATTGGGCCTGTCGCGAAAACCAATCATCCGTCAGTTGATGTCAGTTGCCGCATGCTGCTTATCCCAATGAGCCGATCTGACTATGTGCTGGCTGGACTGAATCTATGTATATATACTGTATATGTATAATATGTACATATATATATATATATGTATGTTGTTTCAGATTTGAAGTTGAGACAAGGTTCATCTACCTAGAATCTATAGAAGCATCGAAATCAAGCAAAAGTCGAGCAGCCAAGTTTAACAGCCGGCCATTTGCAATATTTTGCAATATGCTCCAAGGTGCGATTTGCAATATGTACCAACATTTACCCCCCCAACAAAACACCCAAACACCCAAAATCATCACTGGTTGGTGGTTTGGAACATTTTTTATGACTTTCCATATATTGGGAATAGTAACCCCAGCTGATTCATAACTTCCAGAGGGGTTAGCAGCAACCACCAAGCAGATCAGTTGATTTACCAAGCATTAAGGACCAACTCTCTGGACCCATCTGGACCATTGTTTTTCATCCAAGCTGCCTCCAAGCTGCATGGATTCTTGATGGCATCCGCCGACGTGACTTGTCAAGAAACTGCCACGAACGCGGGCCTTTCGGCCGGGCCAGCTGGGTCCAAGGCGGTGAAATGATGTATGTCCAAGGCATACAACATGTTTTTACATGTTTTTACTGGTTTGTGATTTCAAAGACTTTCTATGTTCAACCATCTTTAGGATGATCCCATGATCCGTCACATTGTGTCACGGGGCTTGAAACCACCAGATTGTAATGTTGATGAGAAGCCGCATGAGTAGCAAACTGTGGTGAAAAAGAGGTATCCTATCTTCAGATGTTGTTGAATGATGTTCAATGCACGAATTCGAGGACGAAGAACTAGCTAATTAATGCTAATAATTCATTTCTTCAGGCTCCCTGACGCATGATCTCCTGCAGTGCGAGCACGTATCCAAAGGTCAAAACCACGAAGAAATGCAGAATTCGGGGTCAAAATTCACCCAAGAAATGTGGAGATCAACATTCCCGAATGGATTCTGTTGTATACTTTGTTCTTGATGTTTGCAGCCCAAGAGGATTCGAATGCATTTGGTGATATTTGGTAGACATACTGTGGATGGAAGAAATCCTGCACCACCTTGGATGGTTGAAACCCTAAAAATGATGGGATAAACCACCTGTCAACTGGTGCAGGATTTCTTCCATCCACCGTAGTATCCACATCTAAACATGTGTGTTGCTTCCAAACCGACAACAGGATTGGGACTCTGGTTGGTGTTTTGGAAAATGTTGTTTGTTCCATTTCATATATGGGAATGTCATCATCCCAACTGACTTTCACTCCATCATTTTTCAGAGGGGTAGGGCTCAACCACCAACCAGAAACCATGTTTTTTTTTACAAAAAAAAACAACATATTAAATAGTCAAGGTTAGTGAATTATCACCATTTGTACTATCCTGTCAGGTATTGTATATAAACCATTTACAAACCATGATCCTGCTAGGTTGGTTAATTACCATCAACCCTGTATATATAAACGGCTTGTTGTTCAAATCCCCATCTGACGCTTGCAGCTGGGAGTAGACCTGGTGAGGTGGGTGATGGGGATGGAGCCAATGCAGGCGAAGCCTCTGGATGTGCTGGGAGCTTCAGAGACAAAAATGTGGATGTTATCTACATTCTGTATACTCGCGATATGATATATTGATATATTGACATATTGATATATTGACATATTGATATATTGATTTATTGATACTATATACATATAATATGAAATGATATATTGATAATATATACATGATGTTGCGTGGATTTGCGTCAGATTTGTTGAGACATCTGTGGGTTATGTGTCCAATGTGCCAGGCAGTGAACCTGAGCTGGAGCCGGCTTGGGCCACAGTCACTGGATGAATCAAAGGGTGTGACTTTGGTAAATCGAATGTTATTCAATCTATATTCAATGTGTATTCAATCTATATTCAATGTATATTCAATGTGTATATTCAATGTTATTCTATATCAATATATATATATAGATACTTGACGAGTTTAAAAAGTCAATCACGTCACTCCGAGGTGTGAAACTTATGGCATCAATTGAATGGCGTTGTGTCAATGGAACATTCCCCAAGTGTTTGCATTTCTCTTTGTGCTGGAAAGAAATAGTGATCATTAGTGAATAATTAGCCTCCAGTAAACTAACAGTTTGCTATGGACAATGACCCATAGAAATCGATTGATTTTTCCATTAAAATGGTGGATCTTTCCATAGCTATGTTAGTTTACCAACCGGTGCTCCATATGCTGAATGTTCCTCAGGTGGACAAAGCAGAGTTGGGGTTCCCCAGCAGTTTCCGACAACTTAACCATGGTTTGGCCCGGTGCGTTTCGTTTCTGGGTTTAACCAAGAAAAACGGAGTGGTTTAAGCATCGAGGCAAAGATGTTTCTTGGGTGGCACCACTTGGTAGTTGGCTGTTGGCTTTTGCTTCTCCATCGATTCAGTGCTGGCACAAGGTCTGGTGTATCCTCTGGAAGATAAAGATGACTTCAGCCAGATGAATGAAGATGCGATGGGCATGATTTCATCAATAGCACCCCAAAAATATGAAAGGGTCGGAACCTGGAGACTGTGGTTCGGACATATTTTCCAACTTGAATCCAGCAATGACATTTCGATCCTTTTTGTAACCATGCCCAAGTCAGGTGACCCCTCCGATGATTCAGATTCACTTGTAAGGTGGCTAAACCCCAACTAGAATAACTAGAAGTTGGAAACTGGAAACTCCAGAAAAATACTTTTTTCCAGGAGTTTTTTCCCCAGGTTTTACTATGGTTTTACCGGGTTTTCCCAGTTAACCGAGGGAAGCCGCCACCCCCAGTTCTTCCAGATTCGGCGCCTTGCTGGGATCTGCCGGGGTGCTTAGTCTGGAAAATCATGGGATATATGGGATTTAAAGTGGCTTACCCCCTGGGAACTATATGGGAAAATCATGGGATTTTTAGTGGGATATACCACTTTAAGCCACTTTAAAGTGATCGATCATGGGATGTGAATGGGATGTACCCTATGGTAAATTAACAGTTGGACCCGGATTTTATGACCAATTTTTAGTGGAAACTAATCTGAAGCAACCACTATCTGGCAGGGTCTATGTTAATTTACTGGAGGGTATCTGATTTTAATAGGTACATCATCTATTTCTATGGGTCATTTTCCATAGCTCAATGGGAATGACTCAGGATCCAATACATGGAGGTACGTAAATGTACCATATTTCTGGCCATATTTTATGGGGATGTTCCCTTAAATTAAGGCCTAAAAAATAGGCCTTATATATGGTAGGTACCTCCAATTTAGGATCCTGAAAATCCCATTGATCTGGCTAGTGAATTACCCTCTGGTAAACGCTTACATAACTATGGAAAGATCCACCATTTTCAATGGGTAAATCCACTATAAATGGGCCATGTTCAATAGCTATGTGGCTGTTTACCAGAGGGTATTGTATATCGTAACTGGTTGGTGGTTTCAAATAGTGTTTATTGTCCATTTCATATATGGGATGTAATCCTTCCCATTGACTAATATTTTTCAAGATGGTTAAAACCACCAACCAGTACTGTATATTGTAATCTTGGTTTCTCTAATTTCAGTAGGGAAGCATTTCATTATTTACCAAAAAGCATAACTGGAGCGGCCCTTCCGTGGACATGCCTTTCTTGGGGTTGTTGCCTTGCATCCAGGTGATGCAGTGATGCCATGGGGATATCATGGGGACATGCAATGTGGGGCCCCCAAACGATGGGTAAATGCGTGACCATAACTCCAATATCCATGGTTTTTGAATGTCTATGAATGTTTATGATACAGGATACAACTATAGATATTGGGGGTTATAGCCAAATTTATAATTGGTAGGGACATGTAGGGACCACATTTTGGTGATGGAATATGATGGAATGCAATATAATGCAAGGTGGTGCCTCCCAAACGTGTTTTCTTTGTTGGTTTCTGTTGCCTGATCTAATCTGATTGTCATAAACCCTAGTGACATGACATCAGATAAGTACTGTACATTACATAATCTCACTAACATTTCTGTTGCCTCATCTAATCTGACTATCAGAATATGTTTTGATGATAAGATATCAATTCTGGTGATGTTAGTGAACTAGACACCAACTTAGCCAACGGACTGGGGCATCATCTTGTAGGTGTCATGTAATTGGTCAGTAACTGGATATGGGCGCCGGCAATGCCCAACATAGCCCGGATCTGAAAACGGCTATTCAGGAGTCCGAAGAACATTTAAGTAACATATTTATTGGATCCGAAGAATGGGATATTTGATGATGGTCACAATGATGGTCCAGTCATCCTAATCATTCATCTACTTTCGATTGTCGATCATTGAGTCAATGGAGTCCATGGATGCAGCTATACGTCGACTCCGGCTTCTATGTGGATAGGAAAAACACCTAAACAACAAAACCTCTTGACATTCGACTTTCGAACATATTAGATAAAGTTAGATAATATATGTACATGTTTTTTTTTAAAGACCACATATTTGTTTGCGGAGATGATCATCATTGATCATCCATCTAAACCAGGCCTCGTCCTTGAAGAAAAAGGCCTCGCCGTTCCTCAGCAAGGCCAAGCAGGTGCGGCGCCAAGAGGGGATCTCCGGAATCATCGGATCACGGATCAGCGCGCCACAATGGGGCCATGGATTTCATCCTCATCAGTTTAATAGGTCCTGGCGCTATCTATTTTTATGGGAATTTCAGGATCCTAAAATGGAGCTGCTGTACTTGTTATGGGAATTTCAGGATCCAATACATGGAGGTACGTAAACGTACCATATTTCTGGCCATATGTTGGGGGGATATTCCCTGAAATTAAGGCCTAAAAAATAGGCCTTATATATGGTAGGTCCATGCTACCCTCTGGTTATGACTAACATAGCCATGGTATAGATGGCCCATAGAAATAGATGATTTTCCCAGCTAGAAACCTCCATTTATTTTGGGGATTTTCCATGGCTATGTTAGTCAGAACCAGATGCTATCTTTTTTTTATGGGTCATGGCTTCCATAGCTACTGGTATGTAAATAACCTAAGGACATAAATGTCTCATTGAAGCTATTGATATGTATATATATAATGATATAATTATCTAAGACATCCCAGTGATCCATTTAGCTTGTCGACTTGCCCATGAAAAAAGAACATCATGTCCCATTGTCAATGGATTGGTTTAAGGGAACATCTTAACCGGAAACAATCGATGTCCCATGAAATATGGGGCGGTAAATTTGCCCTTAAACCCGTCCATTGAGTCACAGAGTCTTCACCATGTTCCCCTATTGGTTGTATAATTCCTTATATTGTTTATCCTATAATCATCAACCAACCAGGGTTTTGTGAAACTGATCCTGACTATTAACCACCATTGAACCACTATTAACCACTATTAACCCCTATTAAGCACTGTTAACAACTATTAACCACTGTTATCCACTATTAACCATTATATTCACCACCATTGAACCAGTATTAACTAATAGTGTAACCACTATATTCACCACCATTGAACCACTATATTCACCACCATTGAATCACTATTAACCACTATTAACTTATATTAACCACTATTAACCACTATTAACCACTACTAACCACTATATTCACCACCATTGAACCACTATTAACCATTAAGATCACTATTATATAACCATTATTAACCGCTAGGACCACTATTAACCATTATTCACCGTTATTAACCAGAATTAACCACTATATTCACCACCATTGAACCACTATATTCACCACCATTGAACCACTATATTCACCACCATTGAACCACTATATTCACCACCATTGAACCATCATTAACCACTATATTCACCACCATTGAGCCACTATTAAACACGATTAACCACTATATTCACCACCATTGAACCACTATGAACCATTGTTAACCTTATTAATCATTATTAACCACAATTAACCCTTAAATGACCACTATTGACAATTATAAACCATTATTAACCACTATGAACCACTATATTCACCACCATTGAAGCACCATTGAACATCTATATTCACCACCATCGAACCACTATATTCACTCTTATTTACAACTATTAACCACTATTAACCACTATGAACAACTATATTCACTGCCATTAAACCATTATTAACCACTATATTCACCACCATTGAACCACTATTATCTACTATTAACCACTATATTTACCACCATTGAACCACTATGAACCACTATATTCACCACCATTGAACCACTATGAACCACTATACACAACCATTGAACCACTATTAACCACCTAACCACTATTAACCACTATATTCACCACCATTGAACCACTCTTATCCAATATTAACCACTATTACCACCATTGAACCACTATATTCACCACCATTGAACCACTATGAACCACCTAACCACTATTAACCACTATATTCACCACCATTGAACCACTCTTATCCAATATTAACCACTATATTCACCACCATTGAACCACTCTTATCCACTATTAACCACTATTACCCACTATTACTCACTATTAACCACTATATTCACCACCATTGAACCACTCTTATCCACTATTAACCACTCTTATCCACTATTAACCACGATATTCACTCACCATCATTGAAGCACTATAATTACTACATCGAACCACTCTTATCCACTATTAACCACTATTACCCACTATTAACCACTATATTCGCCACCATTGAACCACTCTTATCCACAATTAACCATGATATTCACCACCATTGAACCACTATATTCACAACCGCTGAACCGCTATATTCACCAACATTGGACCACTCTTATCCACTATTAACCACTCTTATCCACTATTAACCACTATATTCACCATCATTGAACCACTATAATTACTACATCGAACCACTCTTATCCACTATTAACCACCATTACCCACTATTAACCACTATATTCACCACCATTGAACCACTCTTATCCACTATTAACCACTATTACCCACTATTAACCACTATATTCACCACCATTGAACCACTCTTATCCACTACCAACCACTATTACCCACTATTAACCACTATATTCACCACCATTGAACCACTCTTATCCACTATTAACCACTCTTATCCACTATTAACCACTATATTCACCATCATTGAACCACTATAATTACTACATCGAACCACTCTTATCCACTATTAACCACCATTACCCACTATTATATCCCCATTAACCACTATATTCGCCACCATTGAACCACTCTTATCCACTATTAACCACTATTACCCACTATTAACCACTATATTCACCACCATTGAGCCACTCTTATCCACTATTAACCACTATTACCCACGATTACCCACTATTAACCACTATATTCACCACCATTGAACCACTCTTATCCACTATTACCCACTATTACCCACTATTAACCACTATATTCACCACCATTGAACCACTCTTATCCACTATTAACCACTATTACCCACTATTAACCACTATATTCACCACCATTGAACCACTCTTATCCACTATTAACCACTATTACCCACTATTATTCACTATTAACCACTACTATTCACTATTAACCACTATTACCCACTATTAACCACTATTCACCACCATTGCCACTCTTATCCACTATTAACCACTATTACCCACGATTACCCACTATTAACCACTATATTCACCACCATTGAACCACTCTTATCCACTATTACCCACTATTACCCACTATTAACCACTATATTCACCACCATTGAACCACTCTTATCCACTATTAACCACTATTACCCACTATTAACCACTATATTCACCACCATTGAACCACTCTTATCCACTATTAACCACTATTACCCACTATTATTCACTATTAACCACTATATTCTCCACCATTGAACCACTATTAACCACTATTACCCACTATTACCCACTATTAACCACTAAATTCACCACCATTGAACCACTATTAACCACTATTACCCACTATTACCCACTATTAACCACTATATTCACCACCATTGAACCACTCTTATCCACTATTAACCACTATTACCCACTATTACCCACTATTAACACTATATTCACCACCATTGAACCACTCTTATCCACTATTAACCACTATTACCCACTATTACCCACTATTAACCACTATATTCACCACCATTGAACCACTCTTATCCACTATTAACCACTATTACCCACTATTAACCACTATATTCACCACCATTGAACCACTCTTATCCACTATTAACCCTTCTATAATTTTGATAGTTGATTTTTAGTTGATTTATCCATGGTATTTCGATGGCCCATAGAAATAGATGGTTTACCTATTAAAATGAGGCCCCATAGTTATAAGTTGGTTTAGATTCGCCCCAGTAACTAGTTCGTTATTTGCGTACCATAAACCATAGTGACATTGGAGTTTTTGGCACCAACTGAACGCTATCGTGGCCGGGGGCCTCACATAAAAATGTGAATTTTCCAGAGGATTTTCGGGTGAGGCCATCGTGGAGGAGGCGAAGCAGCTGACCAGCGATGCCCGGGACGTGGCGGGGGGTGTGCGCGAGGGGATGGAACTCACCAAGCAAGACCTGAAGGCCGGGCGCTGACTTGGTGAAAAATGAGGATTTCATGAGATTTTACAGAGATTTTATAGGGATTCTATATGATTTTATAGTAATAGAATTGGATTTTAGAGGAATTTTATGGGATTTTAATGGCGATTTAATGCTGCTTGGGTGTGTTTCAACTGGTTCTTTCAATAAGGAAAATGAGGTTTTAATCCAATGGATTTTGGGGATACAGTATGTTCAGACGAAGCCAAGTATCAAGATATATGTACGAAAATGTAGAGGATTGTTGAGAAAAAACAAACGTAAGTAATTACATGCCGTAAATAGATAAATAAATAAATATATAAATATGTAATGTGTTGATGTAAACAGAAAATAGACAGTTTAGATGTTTAGATGATATATTATACCTATATACAGTATATAGATCAAATGTTTGGAAAATTGTATGACCATTGTATATAGAGCTTGAAAAAGGCGGGCTATGGTTTGGTGATGTGGCTGGTGGACATAGGCTAATCTAAGGGAGGGGTAAGTTTTGGTGAATTGATTTATTTTATGGTCCTTTGTTTGGTCAATAAATGGTGATTGATAGGGCACCCCCCCAAAAACCAATTGTTTGAAACTTTAATTTTCCTATCGAAATACTCTTCTGGTTGGTGGTTTGGAACATTTTTTATTTTTCCATATATTGGGAATCATCCCAACTGACTTTCATATTTTTCAGAGGGGTATGTATACCACCGACTAGTCTTGGTTTGGGGTATCCCGGAAGAAACCCTGCCGGTGACACCATAGGAGTTCCCAGATATGTGTTTGATGAAAACAGAAAGGTTCCCTCGAGTAGTGTCAACAAAACTCGACATATATACATATATTATAACTATATATACATTATTTATATATATATATATATTATATTATATATTATATATATGTATTGTATTTTTGTTTATTGTTTATATAATTATATATCATTATTATTAATATTATTATTTGTTTATTATTATTATATATATGAAATTATAATATATATATATATATATTATATCATTTATATCATAATTAATAATTATATATATACACTATATATATTAATATGTATAAATATATATATATATATTAATATGTATATATATATATATTAATATGTATATATATATATATATATTAATATGTATATATATATTAATATGTATATATATATATTAATATTTATATATATATATATTAATATGTATATATATATATATTAATATGTATATATATATATATATTAATATGTATATATGTATATAAATATGTATATATATATTGCCTTTATCATTTATACATATATATATATATGTATATATATATATATATTATTTGTTTCACACATATACATATATATATATATATGTATTCTAAATTATATGTAAAACACACAGCAAAAACCATATTTCCTTTGGACAACTCTGTGTTTTTTTTCTCCCATTTGTCTAGAAAAAAGTCATCGCTGGGTGATCCTGTCGTGGCAGGAACACACCAAGGGCTGGCGCTCGGCCTTCGGTGCGAAGCTGCGGAGCCTGAGGCCCGAAGCCTCGGAAGCCTCGAAGGAGGAGAAGCAGGTGGGAGATGAAATCTGTGGTGCAGCTGAGAATAGGAACTGTTACTAGTGGTTAATAATGGTTAATAATGGTTGATAGTGGTCATTTAAGGGTTAATTGTGGTTAATAATGATTAATAGTGGTTAACAATGGTTCATGGTGGTTCAATGGTGGTGAATATAGTGGTTAATATTGTGGTTAATGGTGGTTAATGGTTGTTTATTATACTGGTTAATGGTGGTTAATAGCGATTTGAGAAAGAAAACTGTGGTGCTACTGATCATACTGTGGATGGTTGCGACATGCTGCACCAGTTGAGGGATGCGGTGAGCATCCCATTTTTGGGTTTCAATCATCCAAGATGGCGCAGGATTTCGCAACCATCCACAGTAGTATCTGTCAATATTGGTTAATCATGGTTGTTCATAGTAGTAGTTGATAATAGTACGGCAAAATACTAGGACAATAGATGGGATAGCTTCCAATAGCGCTTCACAGTGGTTTCCTTACTGATGGCTAGATCACCCCCTGAATACGGTATTGCTAAGATGTTGTAAGTATCATATTAATTAGACTTATAAGATGTTATAAACAAATAAGAACGGTACATTGGTCGCTTGTGACCCTATTCACTGTTTCTACGTTTTGAACCAAAATAGATAGGGTCACAAGTGACCAAGTGTGCTTGGAGTCCCACGCCTGTCACAAAATTGGTGTGTCCCGTTTGTGGTCGCTTGTGACCCTATTCGTGCCCGAAGTATCACGCCTGTCACACAAAATTGGTGTGTCCCCTTTGTGGTCGCTTGTGACCCTACTCGTGCCCGAAGTATCATTTTTGAAGGAAGTCTCGCAGAAAAGCTTGGTTTTTGAGTTTCGAAGCTTCATTTTTGAAGGAAGTCTCGAGCAAAACCTTCGTTTTTGAGTTTCGAAGCTTCATTTTTGAAGGAAGTCTCGCAGAAAAGCTTCGTTTTAGAGCTTCGAAGCTCCATTTTTGAAGGAAGTCTCGCAGAAAAGCTTGGTTTTTGAGTTTCGAAGCTTCATTTTTGAAGGAAGTCTCGCAGAAAAGCTTCGTTTTAGAGCTTCGAAGCTCCATTTTTGAAGGAAGTCTCGCAGAAAAGCTTGGTTTTTGAGTTTCGAAGCTTCATTTTTGAAGGAAGTCTCGCAGAAAAGCTTCGTTTTAGAGTTATGTAGGTTTTTGAAGGATATATATATATATAATAATATATATATATATATAGATAGGTAGTCATACATTGTATACCATGGCTTTGTGGACTGCAGGGAGCAAGTCTAAATGAAGAATTTCATTGTAGACCATTGCAGTGTGGAACGCATTGGGGAGGAAGTTAAAATGATAAATGAAGAAGTCGAATGGTGACCATTGAATGGTGGAGCGCAGGGGGGAGAAGTTTAAATAAAGAAGTAGAATGGAGACCATGGTTTAGTGGAACGCAGTGGGGGGAAGTTTAAATAAAGAAGTAGAATGGTGACAATGGTTTAGTGGAACGCAGGGGGGGAAAGTTTAAATAAAGAATTAGAATGGAGGCCATGGTTTGGTGGAACGCAGGGGGGGGGTTGAAATAAAGAAGTAGAATGGAGACCATGGTCTAGTGGAACGCAGGGGGGGGAAGTTTAAATAAAGAAGTAGAATGCAGACAATGGTTTAGTGGAACGCAGGGGGGGGAAGTTTAAACAAAGAAGTAGAATGGAGACAATGGTTGGGTGGAACGCAGGTGGGGGAAGTTTAAACAAAGAAGTAGAATGGAGACCATGGTTTAGTGGAACGCAGGGGGGGGAAGTTTAAATAAAGAAGTAGAATGGTGACAATGGTTTGGTGGAACGCAAGGGGGGGGAAGTTGAAATAAAGAAGTAGAATGGAGACAATGGTTTAGTGGAACGCAGGGGGGGGAAGTTTAAATAAAGAAGTAGAATGGTGACAATGGTTTGGTTGAACGCAAGGGGGGGAAGTTTAAATAAAGAAGTAGAATGGAGACAATGGTTTAGTGGAACGCAGGGGGGGGAAGTTTAAATAAAGAAGTAGAATGGAGACCATGGTTTGGTGGAACAAGCCAATGGTTTAGTGGAACAGACCATGGTTTAGTGGAAGAAGTTAGAATGGAGACCATGGTTTAGTGGAACGCGGGGGGGGAAGTTTTAAAGAAGTGGAGACCAATGAAGTTTAAATAAAGAAGTAGAATGGAGACCATGGTTTGGTGGAACGCAGGGGGGGAAGAATTTAAATAAAGAAGTTTAAATAAAGAAGTGGAGACAATGGTTTAGTGGAACGCAGGGGGGGGAAGTTTAAATAAAGCATTAGAATGGAGACCATGGTTTGGTGGAACGCAGGGGGGGAAGTTTCAATAAAGAAGTAGAATGGAGACAATGGGTTAGTGGAACGCAGGGGGGGGGAGTGTAACTAAAGGGATAGGGTCGCAGGTGACCGGATAATAGGGTCGCAAGTGACTGGGTAGAATAGGGTCACAAGTGACCGGATAATAGGGTCACAAGTGACCATGGTACCAATAAGAACCACGGTATAATATAAGATATGTAAGATGTTTTAAGATATTATATTTCTACTACATCCCATGAAAATGTAATATATATATATACACATGTTATTATAGCTCTTGGACTAATATATACACATATATAATTATGATTTGTTTATGTGCCAAGGTATAACATATAGTTTTGATGGCAAGGAATTTTTAATATAGTAACAAGTATCATAAACCATAGTTCAACGGATTGGTTTAAGGGAAAATTTACAGTAAACCATTGTTTTTACCATTAAATATTGGGTTTTCCTGTAAAATTTTCCCTAAACCAATCCATTGAATAGTGATTGGAGTCCTTTGGGCCCCCATTGGATAGTTATTGGATAACTTACATGATAAACCCCAAGGCCCAAGGCCATGTTTACCATCCCATTCACCAACCATGACTGGGGGGTCATGTTCATCCCAGAAAATTGGTTTGACAATCTTAATGATACTAACCATGGGATTTATCCCATCTTATAACATGGCTATCAATTGGTGTGACCATGGGATAATTACAATCTTATATATCATCTTTCTAATATGAGATATAACCATTGGATGATGAAATGATTAGATAACCATGGGATAATATATTCACCATCCGCTAACATGAGATTATCCAGTGATAATAACCGGGGGATAATATATGAGATCGTAGTTGGATATGTTTTTGATAACAAAACGGACATATGATATCCAAGTATTTCAATATATGATATTGGTCTGGACATGTCTGGATGAATTATCATGACCTCACTGTGACATCACTGGAATGAATGATGGTTAGATCGCGGGGAATTAACATAATTCAGCCGGATTAGTGGCTATATCCCCGTCCATCTATATTTTGGTTGGTCCAACCCAAAAAGTTGCCGCAAGGGGTTTTCCTCACCGGGTATGGTGGCAACTACCACAAAAAGCACTGCTGAGAAAGAAATGATTAAGAGTCATCATGAAATTTCAATTGAGCACAAACTGTTTTGGTTGTCTTCCAGGTTCAAGCCACTTGTTAAAGATTCGTTAGTTTGAGGTGCACCTGCTTCAATTTACCCAGAAAAAGAACATCTACATGTATAAAGGTACCAAATGTTTTGGCTAAAGCTCCTTTAAGCACCGTTTCCCCACTCGATTTTCAGAAAGGACCTCAGCTGGCGCAGGATGGAGAAGACTCGGGGCGAGGAGACTCCAAGGACTCCTCGAAACTGCAAGCCTTGCGGCAAAATTTGGCCAACACTGCGAAGGATCCGCAACGGTGGGTCATGGTTTCCCTGTGGAAAAAAAACCTGTTTCATGTACCATTTGGGAGCCGCAACGGGATTACATCATATATCTTTTTGGTAGATATCTCGAATAGAAACTACAGATTTAGATAGATATATATATACACACATACACTCTGGTTATTTAACATAGCCATGGAAGCCATGGCCCATCTATAGATGGTTTAACCTATCAAAAATGGTGGATCTTTCCATGGCTAACTGTTAGTCATAACCAGAGGGTAGATATATGTGGGAATAGAAACCACAGATTTAGATCTCCCAGGTGTTGGATTCATTGGGACTGTGGGGGTAGGATTGTGAGAGAACCAAGATTCGGCGCCTCCATAGGATCAGATCCCGGTTTGTTGTAGATCTATTTGCTCTGGAAAAATGGTTAGGATTGGGGAAACTATCCGAAAATTTCAGGTTAGTTATATAATTTACCCAGATAAAATGGATACCTGTTTGGTAGTTTGGAACATGAATTTGATGAATTCCCAGATATTTTGGGAATGTCATCATCCCAACTGACTTTCACTCCATCATTTTTCAGAGGGGTAGGGCTCAACCACCAACCAGTACTGTACTGTATCTTGGGGACACATCTTTACTCGTTTTGATGCACCAGTTTCTATGCCTAGGTTCACTGGTCGTGCTCCATGCCCAACAAAGTTGGGGACATTTGCCACCACTCATTCTATCACAATGTTCATCCATGTTCAATGAGAACATGATGAGAACATGCGGGTATACCCAATTTTTGGCATTTTTAAGGAGATTTTATTATCTGTGATATTCACCCGTGGATTTTAGGGCTACCCTTTTGTCAGGATTTTTCGGGTACAGCCATTGGGAAGTTTTGCCTCTCAGGATGTGAATGAACTTCGACAGGAGGTCATGGATGAGGCAACGAGTCACCCACTGGAACTCTGAAATAAGCCACCATTGCGGATTTTACCAACGAGATCAACGGGGTGATTCTTTAGACGGACTTGGATGGGTTCATGACTTTTATTTGTGCTAGAATCGGATACACAATGATATACAGCGCACATTTATATAATTATATATAATCATATATATAATATAATAATAATGAGAATAATAATAATAATAATAGTAGAGATAGTAATGATAATGATCAAAAGTAATAATAATAATAATATATATATGTGTGTGTGATATGGAATTTGGAGTTATACAGCAAAAAAAACATGCAGGGTAATTCTGCAACATTGGCAATGGGGCTCAATCAGCTTTATGAAATGATGGGCTAAACATGCCTAAACCGGAAGTAGTCTCAGAAATGGATGAATGGTGAACATAGTTTTTTGAACTAGGATAATTTGCCCAGAACGATCACAGGGTGTTCTTTCATGTTCTTTCTGTGACTTAATGTAGAACACATGGTTTCCAATCCAGTTAGATAGCTGGTGTATCATGGGCTTAGAAACCCCATTGACCAACCACAAAACAATACAAAACAAACAATTCAGCATATGAACTAGTAGTATCTACCAGAAATTGGACTCAACCATTCCGGACATCCGAGTGCAAACCATTCATAGGCCTGAATTGCAAGAAGTAATTTGCGATTTTGAATCTTTGTTTGGAATTAGGGTACCCAAAAATCTCACAGTTCATCATTTTCCCCGAAAAATCGCCATTTTTGGGCCCCAACATCCCAGACCCTGGCGGCAATGAAACAGTTTGCAATGGCTAATCCCCTACAAATTGGTCGGTTTCCATGGGAAATTCTATGGGAAATTCCATTGCCATTGAGGTTCGCCTCAGCGTCAACGACATTCGGCAGGCGCCGAGACCTACCTGTTACGGTTGCGATCCCTATTCTGTTTGTAAGTGAATAATTACTATTTTCCTTATACGTACATATGTATTTATATATATATATATATATATTTATATACATAGATACTGTTGAAGACTATAGTATTGTTGTGTAAAATCGGAGTTGTGTTGAATATTACTCACAGATATACTACTGTAATGACATGTGATTGCATTAGACATAGACATAGATAGACAGACAGGCAGACAGACAGACAGACAGATAGATAGATATAGCTAGCTAGATAGCTAGGTAGATAGGTAGATAGGTAGGTAGATAGGTAGATAGGTAGATAGGTAGATAGGTAGATAGAAATATATATATATATTTATATATTGACATAGACTAGACATAGACTAGACATAGACTAGACATAGACATAGATAGATAATAGATATATGGATATTAAGATAATATAGACACGGACATAGACAGACAGATAGATAGATAGATAGATAGACAGACAGATAGATAGTTTCATAGACATGCAAAGGTGTGTCTCTCTTTACACTTTACACTGTATGTATTTCTGGGAAACGCCTCTGATTCAAAACATGATCTTTGTGACTTTTGGTCTGTCACCGGGGGATCGCACAACATCACCCCACAGAGTCATCTTTCGAATCGGATCGCCAACCTCACACTGATCAACGAAGCCCTGAATGTTAATTAAACACATTGTTGATTCAGGGTGTTGCTATCCCCAAGCCCTCTTGTTTCAGTACATATTATACACGCGGACTGCATGCATGTGCACAAATGCCTTCAGGGCCTTTCTGTGCTGATTCGGATGACCCAAGCAGCCAACAAGTCTTTAAGGGGAGTTTGTAAAAAAAAAACACGTCTATTCGTTTATATAGTCTTCCATGATCCCCCATGAGCCATTTTTAGCTTTCACTCAAAAAAACGATGAGAGGAAAAATCGATAACGTTGAACGTTGGTTCTGTGAATGATCTGTGTCCAGACACTTGAAATCCAATGTGTTTTATTTGTCCGTCGTTCTGCAGCTATTTAGTGTTTTTGCTTTCTTCATTTCATTGTTTGTTGTCGTAATGGCGCGCCAACCAATGCGTATCAGATTCTTTTTGATGATTGCAGCCATTTCAAGAAAAAAAGGACGTACACAGGATTTACAAACGATAACGAGCACAATAACTTTTGGCATCAAAAATGGTCCGTGTGAGACACGGCCTTTTTTCCCCCTTTACCTCTCTTTACCTCCCTTTCCTCTCCCTTTCCTCTCCCTTTCCTCTCCCTTTCCTCTCCCTTTCCTCTCCCGTTCCTCTCCCTTCCTCTCCCTTTCCTCTCTTTTTCCTTTCCATTCGGTTAATTTCTCTTCCTTTTCCTTCTCTCCTTTTTCCTTTCCTTTTTCTTTCTCTTTTTCCTTTTCATTTCCTTTTCTTGTCCTTTCCTTTCCCTTTCCTTTTCCTTTCTCTTTCCTTTCCCTTTCCTTTTTCTCTCCCTTTCCTATTTTTTCTTTCCCCTTCCTTTACTCTTCCTTTTCCTTTTCCCTTTCCTCGCTCATGTGAATCCTTTGGTCAAGGTGTGAAGCCAGCACTTGGACAAACGATAACAGGAACAAAAACACGATAACGCGTGAAAAAAACAGTTGAAAGGGCTCGGGGTTTTTACAAGACAGCCAACATTCATGGGTGAAAAACGGGCGTGGTACTTGCTGGTAAAAACATTTTTAGGCGCAATTCTCACAGTTTTCAACTCCGATTTTAATGGTGACTTATCCAATACCGAAACTATAGAATTAAATTTCGACCTCTTGGCATTAAAGATCATCATCGAATTATTTTCTAAGATTTTGTAATTAAAGCTGCATTTTTCACCCGGATTTCGGAAAATTTGCGCAATGTGGCTTTACAGCCGAAAGCCCAACGCCACACCCGCGCAGGTCCTACGTGGCTCCGCCGACGAGGACGCAACCAGTGCGGAGAAGTCGGAGGAGGCGAAGGACAGCGGCTTCAACAAAGTGAAGGCGACGGAAGAAGGGAAGGGGGTGCAGTATACGGGAACTAAGTGGTTTCATATGGTTTCATCCCACTCCCGATCCCTTAATTATCCCATCATAAATATCCCATGTTTTTTAGCCATAGTCAGGTTGAAACAGCATCTGTCAGGGTTGCGCTTGGAGCAATTCTGGGTTTACCCGCCTTGTATCTGGGCTGTTGGGAGAAACCATGATAGTATAACATAGTATAACTATGGTCCAGACTATGGTTATGGAGTTGGTATCATGATGTATCATGTTATATTCCCAAGCTATGCATAAATTTATGCATACTTATGATCTTATGGAGGTTCTTTTAAAAGTAACCCATAGGTATTGGAGGAAGTGACAGGTGGTTGAAAGGAGGCTGCCACTGCTACCACAGCGGAATTGGGGGGTACTACAGCCAAGAACAGGGCCATCAATGGGTAGATGGTGAGCTACTGACAAAGATGGACATCCATTGAATGCATTGGTAGGTAGGAGCACAAGCTGCTGGGAGAGTCACCATCTCAACCATGCAAATCTGCGTGCTATGGAGAGATTTGTCGGCAACTGCTGGAAAACTCAGCCTCAACATTGAACGATGGGAAACTAGCCATCTGTCAAAGCCTATTTGTTCGCAAAACGGAAAAGTGAACACATCACGTTTAGACATCTGTAGATTGTGTTCTGTTTATGAATGCTCCTCTTTGTGCTAGGGTGAATCCACCCAAACCTGTGAAGATAGTTTTCATTGAAAATGTGCTGTGCATGCCTTCGATGTCTCATTCAATGTGATTTAACATGATGGTTCATAATAAACGACACCCAAAGTGCTTGGGATTGTCAGAGAGAGAGAGAGAGAGAGAGAGTGCAAGTAGCGTATGTAGTCCATTCTGTTCATGTCTTTTGTTTTCACCCTGGAGCTACAGTACCATGTTTTGACCCGCGCCAAAATTCGTTGCCGTTGAATCGTGACACAACCGATGCGGCAGAGGCCTCTGTGTTCCGCAAGGCAGGCGATTTGCGCGAGGGACTGAGACTTGGTCCCTCACTTGCGATGATCCCACGTGACATCTTTTGAGGATTGAAACCACCAGTCATTCTTTATGGGTTAGGCGTGCCATTGATAAGAGTACTTTGAAGATCAATGTAGTCCAAGCTCCGAAGCTTGAGAGTTTTCGGATGTTCTCGGAATTTGAAACTTCCAACCTGCTCTTTGGTGTACTGGGTCCCTCGTAGCTCTCCGGAAAGTTGAGATCTATGTCCAACAGAACGATGGCTTTTCCTGTTCTCTTTTTCTGTACAGTGACTTGGGGTAGTTATCATCCTAGGCGGCACGGAGACCTGACAAACCTTGTGTCGGTCAACCTTGGATGTCCAATGATAGTACGGCTTGATATGGTCATGCACAAGTGGCCAGCAGTAGGGCTTCGGTCCTTTCAAAATCCAGTAGAATTATTCAATATATTGCCATTTAAGTGTGATTGTGTCACAACTCACAACCATAGTTACATGATGCTACAGATAGTTACCACTCCATTGTTGTTGTATACAGTGTATATACAAATATATAACAACCAAACAATTTCTCCTTGCTTTCGGTATATGGGGATCCCAAGTCTCCGCCAAGGAGACATCGCTTCGAGGAGAAACCGCACGAAGCCTTTTGGTTGTTGCCGTCAACGCAGGCCAACTATGTACAGCTCAATCTGAAGGATGCCAGCGAAGGCAGTGAAGCCGTGTGTCTCGACGTAGACCGTTTTTTTTTGTTTTCGAAAAACTGATTTTTTTAGTGACTTGCTCCGGTAGCCATTTCAATCCCATACCTAACTTGACAAAACAAAACAAGATCACAAGATCTAGTTCTTCAATAATATTATGATACATATTCAAAGATGGTGTTTATTTATGGTGTTTCAAAATTGATCAAATCTTCAAGCCGATTTTTTGTTGGCAAAGATCATCCTGTCCTGGGAAATCCACCGTTCTTCCCAATGCTTTTCCCAGAAATGCTTCGCTGCTTCGCCGAGAAATCGAGTGAAGAAGTTGGGCGGCAAGTTGAAAGGCAGCATCGCTAAAAAAAGCAAAGAGGTGTCAGATGGTGTACAGACACTTGGAACAAATGTTGGCAAAGCTCCGGAACAAATGTTGGCGGAGTTGTTGAAATGTGTTGCTTAAGTTTGATGTGCTTATCTCAGGGATTGTTGAAGTTTTTTTTGGAGTGCTGCTCCTACCAACTTCCAAAACTTGCATGTTTGGATACAGTACATGTGTATACATGTGTCAAGAACTATATATATATATAGTAGAATCATTTCACATCTGAATCTATATATATATATATACACATAACTATTTATTATATATATATAAATAAATATAAATAAATAAATAAATAAATATATATAATTATATATATACATACTATATATATATGCGAATAGAGTGTAAGCTACGGACCAAAGTACAATATCACATAATTCATCACTCTAAGACCCACAGCCAAAGGGTATGACAATCGCCCTTTTGGCTCAAGACCCACTGCAGCAACAGAGAAAAGGAACGCCATGCGGAAGCTGTCGTCTTTGTGAAGTCATTACTGGAACAACAAACATCAACATCAATTACTGGAATATAATCGGACAGGCAATCCCCGATTCGCAGGTTATCAGCCGTAGGACTCCTACGGAGCCTACGAGCGGGGAGCCGCGGGCCTTACAGATGACTGAACAGGATAGCAGCGATAATGCATTTTCTTTCTCTGGACATGCCGTTGCACCAGCTGCCGGCACGCAGTCAAATTCTTCACAGAGTATCGACACTGGTGGAAGCGATGCCTCAGAACTGAGAACAAGCCAACCCAGGCGACATCTGGTTGCTCCTAGAGGGAGACAAATTTCGACAATGCAAGCAATTGAAGATAGGGACAGCACACCTGGAAAGAGAAGATCATCTGCACGACAATTGTCGCCTCCGATGACTCCAAGGACTAAGGCAAAGACTACGTCTTCGAATCCGCCTTCACCGATTCAGGACGCTACTCCATCAGGGACAGGATCTTATCAGCAAGTGAATGCCCCGTCAAGTGGTAGCGACATCTTCACTGCCTATCAGAGTGAATTAGCTGAGTACAAAACATCACTGGAAAGGGCCACTGAAGAAGAATCTGTACTTCAGGCAAGATTGAGTGAGACGACAGCATATGCCTATCAACAATTTAATTTCCTGGAAAGCACCACTCATCAAGAGATGATGTCGATGACCGAACAACTCCAGATGCTGAACTTCGAGTTACAGGCTGCACAACAGGAAGATGAAGGTGCGACCTACAGGATCGAAGAGTTGGAAAGGTATCAGACTATGTCGAATGAAGCTGCATCTCATTTGGAATTCAAATATTCACGACTACGTTCGGAATTCGATGAACAAATGGGACAAGCAAACGCAATTATGGTACATGTGGGAACTGACGCGAATGCTCACATCAATCAACTCAGACTGGAACTGGAAAACGCAGAGATGAATGCCAAGCAAGAAGCTCTAGCAGTCGGCTATGCTAATGACCAAACATGTGCTTTGCAGATCGAGATGCTCGAGGTTGCCAATCAGAACCAGACGATGAAGCACACCATGGCCATGAATGTCAGGCGACTGGAAACTGAGTTAGATGCTGCTGACATGAAGAGGGACGAGATCATGAAGGAGTTCCGTAGTAACATAAGATCTGAACATGACCGTTATGCAGAATGTGAACATCACTTAGCTTTGGAAGAATCACAGCTTCGATTACAGGTGATCCACAGTGAGAACTTACAATCTCGACTAGCGATTTCTGAGAACAGGGTTTCTGAAGAATCTCTAGCTGAATCAGGTGGCATGCGGGACATGAGGATAATGGGACTACGTTCTGAACTACACATGAAACAAAGTCTTTTAGATCGAATGCAACAGCAACTGACTGAATCGAAGAATCAGTATCATGAACTTTCCTGTCAACAAGCCAGAAGATCTTCACCGAGCAGATCACCGCATGGAGGACCTCTATACGAGATGTACATGCAAGCCGTGCGTGAACGTGACAGCTTGAAAGAATCCAAGGCCGAAGTTGACAAATTGTACTTGCAGAATAGATCTGAACTCATTGACACTGAGGACCTGCTCAAAGTCTTCCAGCGAAACTTTGATGAAACTGGTAAGAAATATCAAGATGCTCTGAACAAGATCGATCACATGAGCAACAATCCGAATGTGACGAGTACCTTGTTTGACAGTTTGCACAATGAACTCAATGACAGGGATACAGCTATTGCTCGCCTTCATACTGAACTTGAAGCCCAAAAGGACTCTCTTGAGCGTGCTCACAGGGATGCAGGTAAGTCCATCAAGATGTTGAACGACAGAAGACTCGTGATCAAAGGTGCGACTGACTATTCCATTCCTGAAAGCCATTTGACCGAGATGCATCAATTGGCCAATGAGCGTTACGCTGAGGTAGAAGAAATGTCGAGCACCATTGCTGCCCTGAAGTTGGAAAACCAAGCTCATTCTTCTTCATCAATGAATAGACCGACTACATTACATGGGTACCCCAGTAATGCCATGCCTCGGAATGAATGTGAAGAGAAGTGTGCCAAACTGAAAGCAGAGTTGGACGAGATGAAGCAAGAGAGGAACGCTGAAGTTCGAAATCTTCAAGATGAGTTGAAGAAGATGGAAGATCGTAAAGATTACTATAAGAACAATTTCTCTCAAGCTGAAGATCGTGCCAATGATGAAGAGCAGGAATACCGAGCAGAAGCTGAAGCCTTCGAGAAGCTCAGGAACGAGTACAACACAAATGTCAAGGAGTTGGAGAACCTTGAAAGGGATAGATCCAAGTCATCTGTATCTCTAAGAGAAGCCGAAAAGATCAGTCTCCAACCCTGGCCTAAGACCACTGAACTTTCATCCTGGAAGGGAAGTGTCGTTCATGAAGTTTGCGTTGCAAGTGGAGATCGAAACTATGAAGATTGGAAGGCGTGGTTAGCTCCGTGTCTTGCAGATCAACCTGACTTGGAGGCGCTGGCCAAAGCTCCTGATGTGAGATTCCAATCCATTGATGCCAAGCTCTCCAATGCCTTGAGGAAAGTCATTGACAATGCTGGGGACAAGTCCATGCAAGTGAAGTATGACATGTCCATGAAGAACCAATTGTATGGGAGAAGTGGGGACTTCATCAAGGGACGAGAACTATTTGCAATGATATTGATTAGCTTCAAGTCACCTGACCACACTGAAGTTCTCTACAATGCCCATCATTTGTATATGTTCAACTACTATGGAGATGACCAACTTGAGGCCTTCTACAACAAGTGGCTTGACATCGTATACAATATGAAACATGATGATCTGCCTTCCAACAATTCCCTGCGTGACACATTGTTCCGGAAGATTGAACATTCAAAACTTATGGCCTTCGATATCAACCGATACAAAACCTTTGATGAAGGGCATCATGAGAAGACCTATGCTTACCTAACTGGTATGATCAAGGGATACATAGCACGAGGGAAGCAAGAACGACTGTTGAAAGATAGAGAACGTGCAGTGAAACTGTCATTGTCCTCTAACAAGACGACACCTGCCTTAGAAGATGCAGACAAGCCTGCCGCTCCCGTCAAGACCAAGAAGGAGAATGAAGCGGCCGCATCGTCTACAGGTGATCCTCCCAAACGTCCTAAGGCGAAAGCGAAGAGTGAAGCTGCATCGGTACTTCCTACACCTTCTCCGAAATCCCATGCCGACAAGAACAACAAGAAAGGCAAAGGTGGGAAGGGAAGATCATCTTCACCCGTTGACAAGAAGAAGATTTTCTGTAACTACTTCTTCAATAAAGGAGGATGCAACAAAGGTGACAAATGTCTTTACAGTCATTCTCAGAAGGTCTATGATGCCAAGATGAAAGGTAAGAAAGGCAGAAGCGGAAGTAGAGATTCATCAAGAGGGAAAGGTAGAGGAAGTTCATCTTCAGCTGGACCCAAAAAGAAGGTATGTTGGAATTGGCAAGAAGGTACCTGCAAGTTCGGAAACAAATGTAAATTCCTACATGCAGATAAATCGCCCTCAGCATCCTCAGAGAGAACCAGCAAGAAGACACCAAAGAAGAAGGCGACTCCCATTACCATTGATTCCTTCTTTGATAGCGACAATGAAGATTCTATGGATTATACCTCACCGAGGATAGCCAGCGCAAAGAAGTCTTCTGATGATCGCAGGATCTCATTTGATCTGGAACCTGAGGTGCACGAGATCGACATTGAGGACTACCAGGAGGGACTACCCAAACGTATGTATCGTGACCCCAACAAGCAATATGTTTTCTGGAAAGTCGATGATTTGACCGACGATCAGTCCAAGTCCGACAACACCCTCGGTTCAGTCCGAGCACGGGCCAAGGCTATCATCATGGACAGATGTGGACTCCATCGTTTTGTTGATGAAGTTAGAATCATTATTGGCCCCAAGTTCGACATGTTGATCAAACTGGACAATGATCGTGATGACTTGACTTTTATTGAAGAGCTTGTTGAACACGAAGTTGGAAACTCCCTCATGAAGTCCAAGAACATAATGTGCATTTCACTACCAGTGCAAGCCAAAGATCGTAGATTCATCCTGGATTCTGGCAGCGGGCATGATCTGATTTCTGCAAGGAAAGCCGAAAGGATGAACTTGAAGCAGCGAACTTGTGATCCTATCATGTTCCACACAGCCAACGGTTCAACTGCTACTCAGACAGAAGCAGAGATTGACCTGGGAACCTTTGATGTGACCTCTCATGCCTATGTACTGGACGACACTCCGTCCGTGATGTCTCTTGGGAAACGATGCATGGAAGAAGGATATTCCTTTGTATGGCCATCTGGTCAAATGCCTTTCATGATTACGAAGAATGGAGAACGCATCGATTTGACAATCCATGACAACATCCCCTACGTTGATCTTGGAACTTACGAATGCACTCCTCATGAATGTCATCATGCATCAAAGATCCATGACCTATTGACACATTCTCAAGTCGGATTCAACAATTTCAACGACATTGATGATGTTGGTCAACCCTCACGAAGAGTACATCTCGATGGAGAAAGTGGTCTTGAGACATCGATTGAGGGCCACAACTGTTCCCGATATGTCAA